GTCTTCCCTTGCTGGCCACTTCCAAAGCCTCCCACTTTTTTCCATTGCTTTTATTGTAGCCCCGTTTTCATGTATTTTTGCAATTTTTCCTGGGTATGACAAACCATTGTAAATTGCAACTACAAATTCCCCTACTTCTTTTCTGATGGGTTCAAAAGCTCTATGACCCTCGCCATCGCTGCATAACTCTTCTTCCCCCCCTGACGATGATGGAAGTGGAGGACATTCATCAGAATCAGATGAGGTGTCATCGTCAATTTTTTTTTAGTGAAAAGATTTGTCTCACTGTTTTGTTGGTAGGCCTATTTTCTTTAATCTTCCTTTTCATTTCTATCTCCGCTATCTTCGCCAACTTTTTATTTGATTGTTCTTCGATGGCTGCTTTTTCCGGAGTATCTCGGAGGGAACTCAATAATAGCCTATGTAAATTTAACGGTGGTAAGGCAACGCGACAACTTCCGCTGTTGCAGGAATGGGCAGGTCCGTCCGGGGAAGTACCACGAACACAGAAGACCTGCGTGAAGCGTCAATTATATATTTTCGCGTTTCATCTGGTTTGTGAGGTAGTCGGGGCCCAGTTTAAGGATGAAATTAAAAAGACGAATATAAGTAAACAATTTGTTTATTCACAAATATCACGTCATATCATTCGATACATTCATTATCGTCATCGGGTGTGTAATCAACTTGCACGTCGAAGTCTGGCTCTCCACTAAACCCAATCGACGTCTTCGATCATTTCCTCCGAACTTTTTAAAGCTTCATAAGATGGGAGACAATCATCATGAATATATTGATACACTGACGGCAAATCAGCTAATTTCGGCAATTCGTGCAATAGGTTTGAAATCATGCTCCCTAATTTGACGTATTTGTCCTCTATCCAAACATAACAATGCCCAGTGTCATCGGATGCACTGTGGATACCACTATTATAGAACCACAATTGCCTTTTATAGAATGCCACATGCGGTCCTCTAACCACAGGATGAGTCTTAAAGTCAATCTTCCGAGATATTATGAATCCAAAAATTGAACCATTTTCAGGGATATTAAATAACGAACAACAAATCAGACTTCCAATATCTCGTTTTGTATTAATTTTATAATTCATTTTCAAGATACCCACCCCAAGTACCTCCAGACCCCAAGATCCAAGATTAGGGATGTAGGATATAGGTGAGTAAAACAATTTTGAACATGTATTATTTAATGATCATTTCCGGCGATAAATTTATTATACATTCATAACTTCTCATTCTAATATAATGCCACGTATTGAGACGAAAGACAAAGGGATAGTATCAATATTTATGCACCACTAAGTTCGAACATTAAGACAGTAAACAATTGAGACTACTAGTGTTAATTCTTCAGTAAAAATGTATAAAAAGTAAAGTACAAATAAGTGGTAATAAACGCAGATAAAAGCCTCTTAATCCGTCACGTGACTGTTAACAATACTAGCAATGTTCTCAATATTTGCCCTGAGACGCACAATAAATCTTAAGAAAAACAAAAAACCTACAGACAAATCTTGAGAAACGATCTGAAGACGAGGAGTAATAAGATATTAACACATGGCTGTATAGTTACCGTGACAGAGCATTTTATCAGTCGACACGTAAAAAAAAATATCAATATCGTAAAACCTATTTTAACATCTCTAGTTTACATTTTATTATAATTGTTTGGAATAAACTTGATGAAGGGAAGACAGTGGATTGTTAAACGAATTGACAGCTGTCAAAACAAAAGATTTTTGACAGATGTCAGGGATTGAGCAACTTTAAGCTACTAGTTTATTAAAATTACAATTTGGGTGGTTATGCCTATCAAAGCATTGCTAAAATTTGACCATGCAAATAAACCGAACGTGTTGAGCTTATTATTTATTACGTCTTATGAGCGTCTTCAACGAGTTTCTCCATTTCGGAAATAAATATCCCTTATGTGGTAACAATTTCGGTTAATGTAAAGGACATTGAAGTGCGCGTAATGCAATTAAAATAAATTTACAACGATAGAGAAAAATCACTAATGAATTAATCCACAAGCAGAATTCTCCGGTCGCTTATATTTTTCGCGAAAAAGATATTTGAAACTAGTTATTGTCACTAAGTCCGCCATTTTATTAATTTGACTTCAATAACTCAAAACACAGTTCCGATTCGATTTTTTTAAATTTAATGAGTCACAGAACCGACACAGAGCAATCCGACTCGGATAGGTTAGGTTCGAAGGTTAAGGCGCCTTAACCTTCGTGGCTATTTTTTTTATGACCACCCAGAAATAGGAGCAGAAATGACATATTGACAACAACAAAATGGCGGATTTCTATAGTGAAAATTAAACTATCAATTTTATTACACGTCAATGTCCTTTACATTTACCACAATTTTTTTATCTCTCTAGCTCAGTACTTAAAACGTTTAGAGTACTATTTTATGTATATCACATTCATTCAAATATTTATAGCCATTTTACACATGGAAAAAAATGCAAATCGTATAAAAAAATCTTAAGTAATTAAATTAGTTAAGGTTTCAAGTTGTACGGGTGTGCTTATGTCGTGGCATGAATTGTGTAGCTATACGAAACATGATGTTTTATTTTTAAAATCTTTCTGAACATATGCAAATGTTAGCACCATTTTTAAAGAAATGTAAAGTATATGCAAACAGAGTGCACTTATGGATTCAAACGAATACAAATGCTATTGGCAAAATACAGCCTGAAAGCGGACGGAAACAGTTAATAAATTCAGGGAAAGACGCAATTATTAATTTAAGTTTAAAACAATTAATAATTGTGGCTGTTATAGTACTGCTAATTGATTTTTTTTTATTAAGTAGGTATTCATTATTTCATAACATTTCAAATAATACTCTCATAGAATGGTAACATATGAAACATACTTCTAGAAACGTAAGTAAAGTTTGGCTTATATCTTACCACTAGTATAATTAACTAAAGATGGCGGCACACCACAACATGGCAACACCTGAGTACAACAATGGAATTAGTTCTGGATACAATCAGTCACTTTCAATATGGATTGTATTAAGTTGTTCAATGGTGTGCAGACAGTGTTATATTTAACACATGCCTTTATATTTTTCATATTGATAATATTTACGTGTATTATACACAAGGACTGGAAAGTGTATTTTATAGCATTTTTTATAAACAACTGCATAATTCCTAAACTAGACATTGAAAATTATGTAAACATCCCATATTTATTCAGTACAATCTCTAAGAAATTTAAATACAACATGTTAAATAATCTCTCGACAAGGAACCATACTTTACAATAACATTTAAGGGGGCAGATTTGTAGCTTCAGTTAATACAAGTTACAATGTTACTGACACGGGGAAAGTTACATCTAGGAAACTAAATTTTATTTATTTCAATATCATTTTATTTAAAAAAAAATTTACTTTAAATTGTAATTTTCTGTTTGATAAACTAACAAAAATTTTCGGTGCAGCGGGGTTCGAACCTGAGCCAAGCGACCGATGACGTAATGGCAACAATCTTGACATCTATCTACGTCTATATTTATAATATCTAATAACCGTATTACTGCTATAAATGGATGATAAAAAATATATAGCAAGTCATAGGACTCAACATATTATACTACTATTGAGGTGAGTAGAATACATTTTGTTAAATTTTTTCCTTTTTTTTATGTGAAGTTCTTGGACATACACAATAGACCGGCTATATATTTTTAGGTATAAAAGACTTAAAAAATCATGTTCTAACCAATAAATAAAAGTATTGTATGAATTCTTGAATGCATAGTTAAACTATTTTAAAACCATCATATGAAAAGAAGCGCCGTTGAATAATAATTAAAAAATTTTCAATTCTCCTAATTATTCTGAAATTAGTATCACAAATTAAAGTTATTCTATAAGTTTTTATAAAGAAAATCTCCATTTTTTATTTTAATTTACCGGTAATCATAGTAATAATAATTCTTAATCATTCAATTTACGATAATTTATTAAAATTTCCAATATCACTGAAAACTCTTGGATACTATACAAATTAGAGATAGTCATAAACTGTATAGATAAAGCTGTCATAAAATTTTTTGCCGTTGTTAGGATAAAAAAAAATCCGACAGGTTTATGTACACATTTTAAATTTTGAGACTGGCATTGAATTGAAAATAAAATTTTAGATATAGTCAATTGTAAACTAAATTAAAGACAAAACACATTAATATAACTCAAAGTGCGATAAAATTAAAAAAAGCATACTTATAAACAATCAGCCGATACAAAATAATTCGGAAACACTTTTTCAATACACAAGGTTAAGTTATCAACCATGCAATGTACATTCACTTAAAACTAGGCGAATATTCTTCTTATATATGTATGTTTACTTTGTCTAGGTTATGCTAGATCATTCGTTGAACCTAACTACATTGAAATTATTTAGAGATAAAACCTTCATAGTTTGAATGACTCACCTCTCAGAATATTTCTATCATTTCAAGTAATCAAGATTCTGATGAAATTCTAATTGATTATATTTAGTGAATATCATTTGATTTTAAACCAACCTTAAACACAGACTATGGCGACATATGACAATAAACATTATGTTGGGTTTGTGTGTCTGTATGTTAGAGTTTGCTACAGAATTATATCTTTAACTCGTTTCAAAAAGGCGTTATGTACAAAACACCATCAGTTAAATTTGTGTGCCGATATAAGGACAGAAATAATGTTATATATTCCTACATGAACTCTGTCGATCCTGGAATGAAATCTTCGAACCCTCTAATACTTTTTATTCTTGCTTAGCCCGCTAAGCTTTCATGCTGAATTGTACTTAGGTAGCCTAGACTTTTGCTAGCCGATTAACTGTCTTATTCAGACCCCAGACCTACCTTGGAACTAGAGTATGGCCTACATTCTTCATACGCCCACTCCTCTATATATGTTAGCTACATTGACTTAGATGTGACATTAATGGTGCTTTCCAACTGCTTGCTCATACGAAGGCGGGAGTGCTGTAAGAAAAGAGGAAATCAGTAAGATACATATGTACATAACGATAATAAATAAGATATATAAAGATAAATATGAAATTAATGAGGAATCCCATGCTAAACAGATGTCATGCTAAGCTTTCATTAACGGCGCACACAGAGAGGCTGAATTAGACGCTTAAATAGAATTAGATTCATTTTTAAAATGGAGTCTCTTTTATGCCTAGGCTCTTATGCGCACATTCCAGTTACGCGCTAAACGAACGTCTGTGGGCGGCCGTTAGTGATGTCAGACAATTAATTACGATGAAAAAATTTTGATGTGGATATTTTAACTAGTGCCAAAATCAAATACAGAAAGACGAAGACCAACTTTAAATATAGATGTCTTTTTATCAACTGGGATAAGATTGTTTAAAGCATTATTTAATTAACTTTCGGTAGTTGGTAAATATTGGAAATATTGTTGGAAAAAGTTGTCAATGGGCATTTACAACACACATGGGTCCCGGCTACCACACTCATCAGATGAAACGCAAAATCCATACTAATATTATAAATGCGAAAGTAGCTCTGTCTGTCTGTCTCGTTTCCCCTCCAAAAAGTTTTGGTGGTTTAGTGGTTTTTAATCGGTCTGGTACACAGATAGTCTAGAGCCTGAGAAAAGACAAAGGCTATTTTTTAATTGGAAAAAGGTGTTGTAAAGGGTTGAAAGATATTTATTTAAGGGCTTCAACGCGAGCGAAGCCGCGGACGAAAAGCTAGTATATTATATACTTGATGATGCTTTATTTACTCATTAATGGTTTATTGCAAACATTGGTGTTTGGTCGGTTCCAGTTGTTGTTATCATATCTTCACAGTTGTATAGGGACTGACGTTAAACATTATGTAAGTATAATACATAATATAAAAACTACGTCTCTAATCATGTCTGTTTCAAAGAATATGTCACAGTCGTAAATAAAATTTCATCTTTCGTCAATTTAAATCGAGATCGTTATTAATGTTAAAATGGCGGCATATAAGAGAAGCTTATACGATCCTTACTCATTATTCAGTGCTTCTCGACTGAATTATTTAAACGGTATACGAAACTGTATACTACAAATTTAGAAATCGTTTACAAATTCAAAGTAGAACGTAACAATAAATAATTAAAAAAAAAAAAACAGCGCAGTTTTACGACTAAAAAGACGTAATCGAGGCCGGAAACTGTTAAATGATAACGACAATGAAACTACAGCGGAGTCGCCTCAAACCGATTCTACAAATTATTTAATAAAGAAAATATAATTTTTATTTAGTTACGTCTAAATACAGTGTACCGTTTCTAATGTCTAGCATGCAGGGAATGAAATGCAAAGTCCTAACGCTGATGTGTTTGACGGTTAATGATAGTACGTCACTAAGGCAGATACTGAACCGGGATTGGGGTTACAACTTTGAACGCACCTTGCGGGTGCCAGCCAGGCGCCGCCATGCCAAAGAAGGCTACCGAAAACCAAACATTATATTACACAACACGTTAGTAAAATAACAGCCTATAATATATGCCCCATTACTGGGCAAAGGTCTGTACAGGCTATCAAGGAGGAGTCCGCCATATTACGCATTAACTGACTTTACATACCATGATATACAGGCCGCTCCAAAAGACAATATAAGGCAGGCCATCTTCTAACACCTATTGTAATTCGAGAAAAAGATAAAATAACGGTTCTTAATTTCGAGATATAGGAATCAATTTAACTAAGTTTTTTCAATTTAAGAACTGACACAACGTTTTTGATGTTATAACCTTATCTTTGTAATGTTGAAAGATGCCCCGGTTAAGCTTATTCCAAAACACGACCACAGTTTGTTAATGAAGTTAAAACTTCCATTAGATATACAAGCACTGCTTACGTTTGAGATCCATAGTTAATTTTGTACTTTGATATTAGTTATGTTTAGAACTTATTCTAATCTTTATTATCTACTAATTTTATTTATGTTTTAGTTTTCTTTCTCCTTAGATAAATAAATAAATTTTTCAACATAAAAAAAAGCATCCAGACAAGGAACAAAATTTTATTGACCACACAATTTTTACATACGGTAATCGAAAATTCGAACGTAAAACAATCTAGTTAGTAAGATAGTTGAACAGTTGCCGTTGTCATCAAAACAGCTACAACTAAAGATTTTGCTACAACTTTGTATTAAATTGGAATCCCAGATTGCAAGGGTAATTTCAGTAACTTTATTAATAAAAGTACATTTTTATTGACGGAAAACAAAACTGACTTCAAATATCTCGCTCTGTATATATTTTATAACTAATTTTTAAGAGTTGCCTAAGTGTCTCCGGAGCCCAACATACAATACCAATGAAATGAATATGGCACTACACGGGAAGCACCAGCTTTCAAATAAAAAAAGAACTATCAAAATCTGTTCGCTCGGTCGAAAGTTCTGAGGTAAATATAAAAAAAAAATACAGTGGAATTGAGAACCTCCCCCTTTTTCGACGTCGGTTAAGAAGAAAGAGTATATGAGATTGAAAAAACCCGTGGAGAAGGTAACATGTTGTGAAAAGAGTTTCGAAAACATCAAACCAAATACATCTTCCTGCTGAAAGCGAAAAAATCGTACAAAATTACGCGACGAATCGATTTATCCGGTTCGATTTGATTTTTTCTCGCGTGTCAATGTCTACCAATACTTGTGCAGCCTTGGTGTGCAAGGATAATTTATATTTCAAGGATAATTTTAAATGCTATGTTGTCCTTGACAGTTGGACTTTATCAGTCGATCTCAATCGATCCGGTGGTCGGGCACGCGACAGAGTTGTCACGTAAACGAATATATCTGTCATATATGCTAGTACAGGTGTATTTTGTTTCATTTTTCTCATATATCTATAGAAATAAAACGATAGAGGTCTGACGTTATGCGCGTATCATGTAATATATGTATAAAATTTATAGAACAAGGTAATTTTTAGTAATTTCCTAAAATATATTCGATGTTTATTTTCAGTCAAACGTATATATTTACACCTCTGCAAACAGTGATGTTCAATATTATAGATGACGGATGTCCAGACTGCGTGGTGTTTGAAAATTGTTCCGCTTTACATATAAAGAGATAGAAGTCTATAGAATTCCAATCAGTTGTAAAGAAGTGCGTTCTTTTCTAGTGCTATATCTTTGAATATAATATCATTATCTGCAAACACAAATTATCGATTGCGCGGAATGACTCTTCCAGGCATAGTTTTCAGTTTACGTTTGAATGTAAAGTTATGTTTGTGCATTTGCATTTCTGATAACAAACTCGTCATACGAACTGGAATGTATAAATAATTTAATTTGACACCAATCTATAAGAGTGCTTATATATGCAGCAGGAATTGTTCTGTAAGCTATTTTTGCTCTGTAACGATAACATTCTGATCTTGCTGAGTGGTAAGTGGTAAAAGACGTAGATATAAAGTACGTATTAAATGAGACCATTTTACGCATTTTAGCGCGTTTTAACTTTGTTTTTTGGACAGCCTGTCCCGTGACCATGAAAACTGGAACGGGTTCGAAACGTCGGGAATTAAAGATCAAAATTAGAACAAAAAAACGTTAAATAATTTTATTTAATATGTATAATATTCGCGTGAAAACAAGAAATTAATGTATATAAGGTAGATGAATACGTGGCGTAGTTGCCAAGGTATTGGCTTCTGCGTCGGGGGTCGTGGGTTCGATTCCCACACGGGACAACTATTGGTATGACTCACAGATAGTTGTTTCGGATCTGGTTGTTAGTCCTCGTCGAAATTTATATTTTTAAATTAAGTAAAAGAGAGTAGGTAATTTTACTACTGATGTAATGTTCGTTAATTTTTCCGATTCTATGGTATACCGTTAAATTTTAATTTCGGACATTTTAGATACTTTACCGTGTCCACTGTCGAGGAAAAAAGCGAGTTTAAATATAGCCTAGTTTTTCCGCAGCCGCGATAAATTCACAATCCAAATATATACTGAGTAGATTAAAAACCACATTAGGTATTATTTAGTCCATTCAACCATCGAGTCACTTAATGACGTCATCTGATGATATTTGTGACGGCCTTGTTCCGGTGACCGATCAAAGATTGTGTTTTAGGGTTCCGTACCCTAAGGGTAAAACGGGACACTATTACTATGACTCCGCGGTCTAACCTAACCTAACCTAACCTAGGTGTCTCTCAACAGGCTGTATCTCATGAACCATGACAGACAGTTGAAATTTTCACAGATGATGTATTTCTATTGCCGCTATAACAAAAACTTAAAAATATTTAAGTGGGGCCCCACAACAGGCATGATTTTACTGTCGTTTTTCTATGTAATTGTACGGAACCCTTCTTGCGCGAGGCCAACTCGCATTTGATCGGTTTTTTTGAATCAAAAAGATGCTTGAGAAGGTTAAATGCAGCTAAAGAGGTAAAATGTCTCAATCTAGCAATTGAATATTATTACATAATCAATGTAATTTTCTATTTTCTTTTACTTATAAACTACTGATGAACAGTTATTTAGCATTTACTGAGCTCTGTCTATCGGGCTGGAAATTTACAGTAGGCAAATTATTTACCTCCCTTTATGTACGCATGATTTATTTATTTATTGGATTACCGACACAATTATGATACAGCATTTGCAATCTAATCTGCAAAAGAGACAGTTGTGCAAAGAATCTTAACTAACTGTTCTTACAATTAAAAGTTATCACACAATGCTTTAAAATTGATAAGAATGATACAAAAATGCAATGGACATTTAAACATCAAAGCACGAAGGGTTCCGTAACAATATCGATAAAAACGGCAAAAAATCATGTCTGTTGTATGGGAGCCCCACCAATTATTTTTTCTGTTTTTTTAGTTTTTGTTATAATAGCGGCAACGGAAAGTCATCTACTGTGAAAATTTCAATAGTTCATGATAAACAGCCTCGTGACAGACGAACAGACATACTGCGGCGTCTTAGTAATAGGGTCCCGCTTTACCATTTGCGTACGGAACCCTAAAAACTATAAACTGATAACATTAAAAAAATAAGTATTATTAATGTAAATTGAAGTGACGTAATTTCTGATAATGTTTAGAAGAACCAAAAAGTTGTATGTTTATGTCAACGTTTTTAATTTGTTTCTGACTGAATTATTTATGAGGCTGTCGGAATGAATATCTAGATGCGTTTGTGTTTCTTGTCCAATTTTTTTTTATGTGAAAAGTTGCCAAACGAGCTGACCTGGTTCACCTGATGGTAAGTGAATACCGCCGCCCGTGGACATCTGTTACACCCGAGGGTTACAGATGCGTTGACGACCTTTGGAAAATTGGGCTCCGGCCACCTCACTCACCAGACGAAACGCGAAAGTATTTGTCATACTCCACTTTACGCTGGTCTTCTGTGAGGTCGTGGTACTTATCCGGACGGGCCTGCCCATTCGTGCAACAGCCGAGGCTGCTGCGTGGCCCTACCGCCGTAATACCCAATATAAAAATTGACAAACTCGGAAAATGTATAAAAGAGACGTATGACAGGGCGTTTGAAAGGTGGGCGCGGGGAGAGCAATTGGAATAACGAAGTATCCAGTGGTTTACTGGAATAATATTTGGTAGAGAGAATCTTCTTTACTTTTTTTTTAACTTTATTAATAACGGTTCAAATCTAGCGACGGGACAAATATCGCACAACGATCCCGTAATTGGAAAGCCGGAGATATAAGCTGAGGCGTAAATTTAAATTTAGACGTGTTAAATGTGAACGCGACATGACTTGGACATAATATTTGTAACATTGATATCGACCTATCGCGTGAGCGTATAGGCGAAATGGTTTACATGATATTAAATGAATTTATTATTACGGATATATTGCGTTTATTTTTAGTGTTCCGTATGCAAGAGACATGTTTTTTCTTCAGTTTTTATAGATAATAGTACGGAGCCCTTCGCGCTTGAGTCCGAGTCGCACTTGGCCGGTTTTTTAAAGTTCGTTCCAGTCGTTTCGGACCCTTTTCGGCGTTCATCACCATCCAACCCAAAATCAATAATTTAAAAACTGACGGCAGTCAAGGCTAACTACAACATTCTGATGTCCAACACCACAGTCTGTCCCGTGATATAGAACTCCGAAAAGACTTCGGTAAATACAATCCTTCCTTAGTAATATTATAAAGGCGAAAGTTTGTGTGTATGGATGGATGTTTGTTACTCTTTCAGGCAAATACTACTGAATGGATTTTAATGAAACTTAACAATAATATAGCTTATACATCAGAATAAGACATAGGCTGTAATTTATATACATATTTTATGTATATTGTCTTTCTATCTGAATGTTACGCTTTCAGCCTATTTTACGCAGACGTTGTCGAGGGCAGCAGCTAGTTAATAAATATACGCGATGAATCCGTAACAAGGCCATAATTTTACTAACGATAAACCAAACCGACTTGAGATATCTCGCTTTGTATTCATTTTATAATTGATTTTAGGGACTCCCTCAAGTATCTCCGGAGCCAACGATCCAATGCCAACGAAATTAATATGGGACCACACATGGGAAGCACCAGCTTTCAAATAGAAAAACAATCAGAGTGAAGCGATTTTTAAGAAGAATCATCAAAATCGGTTCTCTCAGATGGAAAGTTCTGAGGTAACAAAAATACAGTCGAATTGAGAGCGACCTCCTCCCTAAAGTCGGTTGAAAATAGTTATGTTCCGTAAGGTGGTTTTTCACTAATTACAATATCTTATCACACTCTACAAATGCCCATACAGTGTTTGCTAATTAAATAATATGACAAACAATTTTTTTTTCATTTTTTTCCCCTATATAGAGAAGCGTACTATTGCAAACGTTTGATAAGGATAACAGTGAACGTTGCTATTCCAGAGAGGCGAGATAAAACATTTTAATCGTGAATTGTTATTACATTTAAAAGCAGCGTGATATTGACTGGCAAGAAAGATGTTATAGGGCTCTACATATGGTCATTCAGAAAGTTATATCAAAGTCGAAATTTCTTTATGAAAAAAAAAAACAAATTTTACGAATTTATCGCGTTTATTTTTAGTTTAAATTCCCGGACGTTTCGAACCCGTTACAGACTGAGGCGTTGGACGTCTGAATTCTGTATGTCGTAGTTACCCACATAGCCTTGAGTACCGTCAGGTTTTGAATTATTAATTTTGTGTTTTTCTGAAAAGGATTCGAAACGGCTGGAACAATCATCGACGGGTTAACTATGTCTTCTGAACGTGAAAGTTATATATCACGGGCTACCGTCATTTGTTAAATTATTAATTTTGTGTCCGACCTATAAAGATCTCTTATTGAACGTCAAAATAAAACCGGTTTACCAAACTAGACCTGACCAGAGAAGAGCCGGCAAGAAATTCTGCGGCCTTGTAAATCACTTTTTTTTTCAATAATACAATTATAGACAATTTATTCGAATATAAAATAAGTACCAGACAAGGAACTTGAAGAGATAATGGTAACTTACGAACATATTAATTTCCTTGTAAAATTTCGACGTTTCATAAGAACGCGCAAGCGTCTATGTGAATAAAGATATTTTATTATTATTATTAATAGCAGCCTTTCGTTTTCAAAAGTCATTCGTAAAGACCCATTTACACGGTGCAAGTTTCTTGCCTGTTGTATACAATTAAATTGAAGCAATAAATGAGTTGCATGGTCTAAACAACAAATGGTCTAACAAATTATTGCGCGCAATTTATTGCATTCAATTATTGCTCTTGTATGTACAAGAAAATGGCATCGTGTAAATGGGCCTTTACTCGTTTAATCTGGAGGGATTCATCAACCAAAATTTACTCCACAGTGTCTTAGCACTAACTTTTTGGAACTTGAAATAGGCACGTTTTCATGTTTCAGTATTTGGAATGATTTCAGCGTATTTGTAAAGAGTCGAACGTCCGATATATTAATTGTTCCTTATGCGAAGATAGCGCAGTCTCCGAGCGCTTGTTTTAGATTTAATTTGATGACTCCGTGACGCAGTTGCTAAAGTATTGGCTTCGGCGTCGGGGGTCGCGGGTTCGAATCCCACGCGGTACAACTATTTTTGCGACCAACGTATAGTTGTTTCGCATCAGGGTGTTTGCCCGTGTGAAATTTATGTTTGTAAAACGTCCTTACAACACAGGATAAATGTTATCCAAAAGTAAGGGTAAAGTTTTACAAAAAGAATCTGGCACCAATGAAATTGTCAATTGTACGTAATTGGACTATACCCAGATAATCTCTGTACAGGGGCCACGTTATAATATAGTAAGGGGCCAATGTTTTCGAAAGGGAAGACTACAATAGATATTTTAGGTCTTAGTGGTATTTGGGACTTAATAACCAACCAAAGTACCAAATATCAATGACCAAGTAACTATGTGAAAAAAGAGGCACTTGTTTTCCTGTATAACCAGGGTCAACGTTTTATACATACAGACTCTGGGCAAGTAGGCATTTAAATCAGACTAGATATGAAGATGCTGAGGACCGTATAAATCACACACATGGACACAAAAGCGAAATGGCAAGAAAAGTTAAAGATAAAACAACAGGATTTGTCCACAGTTAGACCCGTTCAAAAAAGGAACCTATTACAAAACACTAAAATACATACCATTTGCTTCTGGTGCACTCGGAGCGGAGGGCTGTGCGCCCGCAGGGTATGGGGCCCCTCCGGTAGGGTATGGGGACCCTCCGGTAGGGTATGGTGCCCCTGCCACCGGGTAAGGCGCACCGCTGGTAGGGTACGGCGCCCCCACCGTAGGGTAGGGCGCCCCCGCCATAGGGTACGGGGACCCAGTGGGGTACGGTGCCCCTGCGGCTGGATAGGGGGCAGCCGACGCGACCGGATAAGCGGTCACTACTGGAACTGAAGACGTTTTAAAGCATTAAAGTCCACTACTTCTTAAGTAAAGTAAAGTAACAGCCTATAAATGTCCCACTGATGGGCAAAGGCTTCCTCTGTACAACAGAGTATCAGAGCATAGACCACCACGCGGCCCCTATGCGGATTGGCATACTTTACATATTTTCGAAATCATTTTTTTTGTTATTATTTCGTAAATATGCAGGTTTCCACACGATGTTTTCTTTCAATGCGGAGCACGTAATAAGTCAGCACTTAAAATTAACAATTTCATTAGTGTTAGCACCGGGGATCGAACTCAGGTTGCTCGAGTAAATTGAATTAAAGGCGAGCGCCCGGACACCGAGCTATCATGGCTCTTGCTTCTTATTTTTTTACATCAAGACATGTCTACTTTTATAAGGGTACGGATTGTCAAATGACATTTTCAGGCCTACAAATTTCTTTGTGTTTAGAAATGTACAGTTTGCAAAGTTTTTATTTTTTTGCTATTCTCTGATGACACTGGTATCGTATGTAGTCCACTGAAAGTGGAGTTGAGAAAAATAATAATTGCCAGCAGAAAGCGTTGTCAATCTCGATATCCATCGACTTGGCGCACATTTGCGCAGGTCCTCACTCCATCTAGTGGAGGGTCGTCCTACACTGCGATGGCCAGTACGAGGCTGCCACTCGAGAACCTTTCTTCCAAATTGTTATGCTGATATGCTATAGAAAATATACTTGGGACATTGAATAGAAAACAGAAACATTGCAATTTTTCCGCTCAATAGTTTCTTTATCTCCACAAGTTTCCTTATATATTTATTCGCCCTATATACTGTGTAAAGCTTCATCGGGCACGATGCTCTACAAATGAAAAACTAGGTTTCCACTGGCTAGCTATCAAGATGCGTAATATCAGATTTGGTAAGGTACCAAACTTAACCGTACTTAACTCTACATGTAAGTAATTAAACGAGTGTAAAGTCTATTCAGTAAGTGTAAGTCAAAGGCTGCGGACTTAACTTTGTCTATATGTGTTTATTTTTCAGGTTACAACAACGCAACAGCCTCTACTGTAACTCGAGAAAAGCGTCATGAATTGGGATATGCCGCACTCAAACAGAATAGCGGTGTGTAGAGGACGCTATACTTTTGGATTTCGTTTGGCGAATACTTAAGGGTCCACTTAGAGATTAACAAACCACTCGTCACACTTGTGTCGTCAAGGTCATGGTCATTCCTTTGCCGTCTGCCCTTATACAAAAACTTTCTTGCGTACGTGTGAATATTTAAAACAATTTAGAGCCTCGAAATGTTTACGTTACTGCTTTGACGAGGCCGATCGAGTGCACGTCTCTACTAACGCACAAAAACATTCCACTAATGTTACGTGACTCGTGACACTTTTTGTAATCGGTGCAAATTGGGCCGAACCTTTGTATAATACTTTCTTTTCTTGATCAACATTTACTGCACAAATAAGGACAGTATTACGATAACGTATAATAATTATGTTGCAGTAACTGTTTTGCGTTTTTAATTAATAACAGTTCAATTTGATAGCCAATGTTGCCAATGCAAATATAGCCGTTGTAGGTGTATATCTGGATCAACAGACAAAATACACACCGGAACACAAAGATAAGAAGAAGTTGAACCCTGGTATTCCCCAGCGCTTATAAAAATTAAATCAGAACAAGACAAGCTAAGACATCGGTATACAAAGTACAAGAACCCTCGCGACAAGCTGGAATATGACATGCTACGAAATCGATGTCATAAGCTCGCGCTCAGATGCTATAAAGAGTACACCACTAAGATTCAGGAAAACATTTTTGTAAACCCAAAAGCGTTCTGGCGTCATTTAAAGGATAAAAACAGGCGTAGCACTAATATTCCAGCCCAAATGACCCTCGGAACGACCATAGCTGATACAGGCATCGCCATTTCTAACTTGTTTGCTGAACACTTTTCATCTGTGTTCGCACCAAGGGGTTTGTAACCAGTTTTCTTTAGTTGAACCCGCATACACAACGGGGTCGCTTGGTGCTATATCAGTAACACGAAAAGATATAAAAAAGAAAATAAATAATCTTGAAATAAATAAGGGACCCGGACCAGACGGCATACCTCCTGTATTTATTAAAAGCTGTGGCGAACATCTATCCCTACCATTGTCTTTAATATTTAATCACTCATTACGTACCGGTAAATTCCCGACAAAGTGGAAAAAAGCTCGTATTGTTCCAATACATAAAAAAAGGTGACGAAACCGTAATATCTAACTATAGACCTATCTCTATTATTTCATGCTTTTCAAAACTTTTTGAATCAGTAGTCTGCCCACAAATTACGCGTCATATTAATGCCATCATAGATGACTCTCAACACGGTTTCCGCAAAGGTGGTTCGACTGAAACTAACTTACTCACCTTTATTTCGCATGTTTCACAAGAGGTTGATAAAGGATCACAGGTAGATGTCATCTACACAGATTTTTCGAGTGCGTTTGATAGGGTGAACCATGACCTACTAATCTTAAAACTAAAATCGACGGGAATACACGGTTCGTTACTTACGTGGTTTAAATCATATATTGAAAGAAGGTCACAGTTAGTTGCAGTAGGTGGGTATGAATCTAGCACATACTACTCAGAATCAGGCATTCCACAAGGCTCACATTTAGGTCCCATACTTTTTTCCCTGTTTATAAACGATGTCACATCTAAAATCAAACATAGCAAAGTTTCACTCTTTGGCGACGATCTTAAGTTATATAGGCTCGTAGAATCAAATTCAGATTCATATCTCCTACAGCGTGACGTAAATAGTCTAGTGGAATGGTGTAAATCAAACGATATGTTATTAAATCCCTAAAAATGCTTTCACGTAAAATTTACGCGAAAAAAGAAGCCCTATCCATCTGATTATCACATAGAGGATACGCTGCTTTCGGAAAAGAACGAAATAAAGGATCTGGGAGTTATCCTAGACTCGAGACTCAGTTACATTCCTCATATTGATAAAATCGTTAAAAAATCTGCACAGACACTAGGATTTCTCAAAAGAAACACTAAAGGGTTCCAAGCTAAAACAAAAATCACAGTTTATAACATGCTAGTACGGAGTCAATTAGAATACGCAAGTTCCGTGTGGAATCCATCATACGCGGTACATTCTCAAAGAATTGAAAATATCCAAAGAGCCTTCACGAGACATATCGCTTGTATCACTAGCGGAATATCATACCGATGCCCATATAAATACCGACTTGAATTTTTTAATATGCCAACATTAAAGGATCGAAGGACAATTCACGACCTATTAATGCTACATAAAATTTTACATGGTCATACCTCATGCAGTGAACTACTAAGTAACTTTGCCCTAGCCGTTCCCTACAATCTCCCTCGGCGCCCTATAACAAAACTTTTCTGGACTCCTCCTCATAAAAGTAACTTGGGTTTGCATGCTCCCGTAACGCGTTTCTGTAATTCTTACAATGCCATCTGTGAAGAACTACCCAGAATGGATTTATACCATTTAAATTTTATAAAATTCAAGAAATGAATACTGAGTCATGTCCGTTAATGTTTTAATTATTAATCAGATATTTCCTTTTTAATTTAGATTGTTGTATTCATTCTGTATTTTGTATTGTAATAATGAAATTTATTTGTATTTTATAAGTTTTAATTAATGTCGATTTTAACATTATTAATTTAATTTTAATTTATTTTTCTTTTTGAATTTTTGCTTGTAATTCTTTAATTTTCATTTTCTTTTTCATATTTTTACTGAAGTTATTTGCTGTTAAATATTTTTTGCATTTATCGTTCTCGATTATTCTTATATTTAGCTGAAACAATGCTGTGTCACCTAAAAATTTATTTTTGTATTTGTATTTTTGCTTGTTATTCTTTAATTTTATTTTTTCCTTAACTTTACTGAAATTATGTGCTGTTAAATATTTTTGCATTATTTTCTCGATTATTCTTGTATTTAGCTGAAACAATGCTGTGTCACCTAATAAGGTACATACATCAGAATTTTTTTTTGTAATCTTATTGTTTAAACGTGAAATGCATGTACTGCTGGTGTCCTTTAAATAAATAAATAAATAAATAAATAAATAAACAGACTTCAAAAGAGGAGTAACTTCATTACTGAAAATTATTTAAAAAAATAATTGATGGATTTTTCATTTCATTTCGGTTTAGTCACATATTTGTTGCATTTTTACGACCTTGAACTCCAGAAATACATCAAAATGAAAAAGAAAATGTCTCGTGGATGAGATATTTGAATAAATCCGATCCTGAGACAACATTATCAGGCTTAGCTATAATTAAGTTTGTTTCAGTGTCAAATGGACCGAATTTTACAAATGAGCATAATAAATAAATAAATAAATAATAGCCTTTTATTCAGATCATCTTATGCTCATAACAATATTCCAAAGCAAACTTAAAACTAAAACCAAATTTAAAACTTATTCTAATATCAGCTGCTTTTTTATGTTTTGCAGATCTGTTTGCCAATCGGCAAAGGCCTCCTCCAACCTCTTCCACTCTGACCTATCTAGGGCCACTCTGTTCCACATCACTCCTGCCACTTCTCTTATATCGTCGTCCCACCTTTTCTGCGGTCTGCCTCTTTTCCTTTTACCTTCCCTGGGATACCACCTTGTCACCTTCTTACTCCATTTGTCATGACCTCTTATTGTGTGACCTGCCCATCCATTTGAGTCTTTTAATTTTCCGTTCTACATCTGCGGTTCTTGTTTTATTTCTGATGACACAGTTTTTAAGTCTGTCTGATCTTTTGACGTTCAGCATGCTCCGCTCCATAGTATATTGGCAAGTTGCTAGTCTATTTGTCATTTCCCGAGTTAATGTCCAAGATTGGCAGCCATACATAAGTACGGGTAGTATGCAGGTGTTAAATAGTTTACTTTTAATGTTTATATGCAGTTGTTTATCTTTCATAACCTCCCTCAAACTCCAGTAACTTCTCCAGCTGTTCGTAATTCTTCTCTGCACTTCCTCGCGCATAGGTTCTTTTTGAGTTATGATTTGTCCCAGGTAGATGTATTCATCGGTGTAGTTGAGTTCGGTGTTTCTTATCTGTATCTTGGCTTTCTCCCCATTTGTCATCATTCTAGTCTTTTCCGGGTTAAGTTTTAATCCTACACTCTCACTTTCTATCGCAAGGTCTTCTATCATTTTAGTTATGTCTTCAGGTGTTTTGGCGAACAGTACTATGTCATCAGCGAATCTTAAGTGCGTCAGTGATGTACCGTCTATATTGATCCCAACGTTTTCCCAATTGAGTTTCCTAAAAATTGATTCCAGTACAGCCGAGAATAATTTTGGGGATAAGGGATCTCCCTGTCTAACGCCTTTTCCTACTTCGAATGGCTGGCTTTTCTTCTCTAGCTGGATTCTGGCTGTACTATGACTGTAAACGTTTTTTAATTTAAATTTATTAGACGAATGTATTTAAGTTCAATCCCTTGTTCCACTAATGCTTCCCATATGTCTTTGTGTAGAAGAGAATCAAATGCTTTGCTGTCATCAATAAAAGCAATGTAATATTTCAGCTGGTATTCGCTGTATTTCTCAACAACTTGACGAACTACATGGATGTGGTCGATCACTGAGTAGTCCTTACGAAATCCCGCCTGCTCGATGGGTTGGCTCTCATCTAGCGTTCTTTCAATTCGTTTTAAAATGATCTTAGCGAAGATTTTGTAGATGTTTGACATAAGACTGATGGGGCGATAGTTTTTTATATCATGTTTATCTCCTTTCTTATACAACAGAATAATGTTAGATTCTGTCCATTGCTGGGGAATTATTTCTGTGTGTATAATTAAACATATCTGTAAGTACAGGTGCTAACATTTCCTTTCCTCGTTTTAAGACTTCGTTGCTTATGCCGTCTGGACCTGGTGCTTTATCTAGCTTTTGAGTATCTATGGCTTTCTCGACTTCAGCTTGAAGAATGTTAGGAATGTTTGAAGTATCCGCCAAATCAATATCGTCTTCTGTTGAGTTACTTTCGTACAGACTCTTGTAATAAGATGTTGCTATATCCAATATTTCTGTTCTACGATAATTCAATTTTCACATCATCAGTCATTTTTCATTTTAACAATCCAATCCTTTGAATTTCTCAAACTTCTGTATGCTTTTTTGACTCCACCTGTTTTGTTTATAATTTTTTCTATAATTTCCATTCTGTTTTGTTTTCTGTCCTTTCTTATGCTATCTTTAATTTGTTTACTAATTTCCCTTAAATGTATTCTTCTGTCCTGTGTATCTTTTGTAACGATTAACTTGTTTCTCTCTTCTAGTAGTTTAGCAGTATTTGTTGATAGCCATTTTTTCGGTTGGGTTTTTGTATTTGCATATAGTTGTATTTGGGTTTTTATGGTACTTTCTAACCAATTGTATTTTTCTTGTGTTCCTAATTCTTTTGTGTTTGATCCGTAGTTTGTAAGATTGTCGCTTACAGTGGTTATAATTTGGTCTAACTGATGTTTTCCGAGCTTTATGTTTTTTAAGTCTTGTCTTGGTCTAGGTTTTTTTGGTTGATTTGATATTAATTCTGCTCTAATTAGTTTATGATTAGTGATAAAATTCAATCTCTTGATTACAGTAACATTAGAGAAGTAGTTGTTTCTGTTGGACATTATAAAATCGATTTGGTTTTTTGTTTTTCCGTCTGGCGAGATCCAGGTCCACATGTTTTTCTTATTTTTCCTGAACACAGTATTTAAGATGGTTAAGTTATTTTGTAGTGCGAAGTTTGTGATGTGTTCTCCATTTCTGCTTCTGGGTTTATTACTATATGTAAAAGGTCCCAATACCTTTTTCTCTTCAAGGCGCCTTTCTCCAAGTTGGCCATTACAGTCCCCCATTATTATTAGGTTTTTATGCCCATGCTCGTGAATCGCGTTATTTAGATCAAGGTAGAATGTATTTATTGTATCCAGACTAGATTGTTCAGTAGGTGAGTATATTTGTACTATTGACCAAGGATCTTTATATCCAGGTAGTTTCAAACTCATTATCGCAATACGCTCAGATATACCTAAAAATCCTTCCACGTATTTGGTTATATGTTTTTTAACAATAAATCCAACCCCATAGAGTCCCGGAGTCTCTCCTATATGGCAAAATGTGAAATCTGGATAGGATAGCATACAAATGAGCATATTTTAATTTAAATTAAACCTGTAATAATTAAAGTGCCAATAAATTTCTTCGTGGCGCAGTTGTAAATGTATTTGCTTTGGCGCCGGAGGTCTTAACTGTGGTAAGGCCACGCAGCAGCCTCGGCTGTGGCACGAATGGGCAGGTTCGTCCGGGTAATTACCACGACCTCATAGAAGACCGGAGTAAAGGGGAAGTATAACAAATACTTTCGCGTTTCGTCTGGTGAGTGAGGTAACCGGAGCCCAATTTTCAAAAGGTTGTCAACGCATCTGTAACCCTCGGGTGTAGCAGATATCCATGGGCGGCGGTATTCTTGCTCGCTTGGCAACTTTGACATAAAAAAAATCTTCAGATCAGATTATTAAAGTCGACACAACTATTTGTAAAACTCACCGATAATTGTTTCGTACTGGGTGTTTGCCCACGAGTTTACAAAATGTATGTTTGTAAACGGTTTTTACCACATAGGATAATGTTATTCTACAGTAAGGGTTTTAAACCTAGAAAACAATCAAATAAAGTTTCTCGTTCCTAAAGTGTCGCGTGGGGGGGGATTACCTGGATAAGGGGTGTACTCCTGTTGCGGGTAGGGCGCGGGGCCAGGAGGCATCGGCGCGGGGGCGGCGGGAGGGGCTGCGAAACATCCCACTTATATAGAGGCACTAATAGCTCAGAGTAAAGTAGCAGCCTATGCATATACCACTGCTGGGCAAAGGCCTCCTCTGTACATGTCAAAAGGGCATAGTCCAGCACGTGGCCCCGCCGCGGATTGCCGGATATTACATCGTCGAAACATTTTTTTTGTAAATAATTCGAAAATATGCAGTTCCTCATGGTGTTTTCCTTCAACGCTAATTGTGTGGTAAGACAGCACTTAAAGTCAACAAATTCATTGGTGTCTCGTTTCGGGATTTGAACTGAGAACTGAGGATTATGACCCTAATGGCATAGTGGGTAATGTACCTGCCTCCTGCGCCAGAGGGTGTGGGTTCGATCTCCACTACTGGAAAAATATTCTGTGATGAACATAGTTTTTTTCAGTGTTCTGGGTGTTTATACATATACATATGTATATTTATTTATTTACAAAAGAAAAATATGTTTATCAGTTATCTAGTACCCATAGTACAAGCGTTGCTTAGTTTGGGACTAGAGCACGTTGTGTAAAAATGTATCCTAAAATATTTATTTATTCATTATTTATTAAATGCGAGCACCCGGACACTGAGCTATCGCGGCTCAGAGTACCGAGTTGAAATCACGAAGTCACGTCAGAGTAAAACTAGTAAGGTCAGCCATAGCTGATGAACGAATGCAGGCTCGTCAGGGAAGCAACAAGCGTCAAGAGCGCCGTCAACCGGAAGTATGATACTATCGCGTTTCGCCTGGTGGGTGAGGTAACCGGGGCCAACTTTTTTAATGGTTGCAACGCATCAACAACGGACGGGGGTCATCGTTCGACATCAGATACCGCCTGCACGCTTGCCAACTTATATAAATATAAAAAATGGCATGTAATTTGGTGTTATTTATTATTTACATATAACTTTCATTCTGTTTTTCGAGTGTGAGTAGATCAATATTATTTTTGTGGATGAGTCTTTAATTTTTATGTGTCTACTTTACTACTAACTTTTTGATATGACAGCGATATCTTAGGCAGTACAAAGCCCGTATTCCGTAAGTTACCGCACATTCATAGCTACTCCTAACGGGACATACACATTACGCATAATTGACTAAAACTTTAAGTTAAAATTAGGGATATCTCATCAAAAAGTGATACACGTGATTAGAACGTCTATATAGATAGATAGTGAAATTGTATAAATTCTAATAGGTTCCATATATGGTTCCATAATGCGGTGAACTCTAATCACTTGACTAGGGTTGATCACGTACATTTTAATAAAATTTCTAATACCTAACAGACATCCTTTCATATAGATAAACTAAATTATCTTTCATTCGTATAATACGAGTAAAATGACGCCGCTGAATAGTCAATATTAACTCTGAGTAGTGATTCTTGTATCTTGTATCTTGTATTAACTGATGTTTTTGCTTTCAGTCCCGAGACTATTAAAGCTTCATCTGACGCAGAACCGGTGGGCTAGCCAGAACCCACGGGTTTGGGCCCTCCGCTGTGGGTAGGGCCATGCATGTGCTCATGCGTGCGTTTAACTATGGTACGTCATCTAAGGGCCATCGAGGTCGTGGGCTGGGGGCGGTGAGAACCACCCCGGAACGCGGGTGTACCTTGTGTACGCGTTGTGTTGGTCTCGCCGTGCTCGGAGGCGAGGGCGAACTAGTGTGTTTGTTGTTGCACTAACTGTGGGTGTAGTGTTGTCCGGCGGGACCCCCGGCAGTGGGTCCGGCGTGTCTAAGTCCCCTTCCTCGACCGGGTCGATTAGGACGTTTCGCGGGCGATGCTTGTTGACGTTCGCGTTTTGGTCGGGTTGGTAATTTGCTGCGCTTACCACCAGAGGGTTGGGATGATGTTCGGCTCTATCGAAGAACCGTTTGGTCAGGTCTTTAAAATATTCGCGAATCGTCGGGAGTCTGCAATCGCTGTGCAGGTCGACGTTGCGTTGATACCACTGCGCACCGGTTGCGCGGCGGATGAACTTATTTTGTACTATTTGCATTTTGTACAAGCGAGTGGTAGAAGGTGAACTACTACTACTACTACTACTTGGGCGAAGGTCATGCATGCGTAAGACATAATAGGTCGTACGCAGGTCTTATATAATAATAATTTGTGCCTTAAGGGCATTTTACTTTTAGCGTTAGTTAAATTGTGTAGCCGGCCGGAGACGAACGCGGCTCTATTGCGAACGTTATTAATGTGCGTAGTAAATGACATACGCGAGTCGGAAGTGACTCCTAAGTATTTGACCTTTTTCTCCCAGGGGAGCGGTTGGCCATAAAGGGATATTTGCCCCAACTTTCTGCATTGACGAGGGCCATTATAAAGATGTGACGGGTAAGTACTTCGTGTGAAGTGAATCGCCACACTCTTTTCGGGATTTATTTCTATTCTCCATTTGCGGAACCAATCGCCGAGGCGGTCGGCAGCGCTTTGGAGTCGAGCGGTTAGTTGTCTAAGGTTGCGGTCTGAATAAAAGAGCGCCGTGTCATCCGCGAAAAGCGCGAGATTGACGTGGGGGTCTTTAGGTATATCGCTCGTGTAGAGCGTAAAGAGCAAAGGTGAGAGGCAGGAGCCTTGTGGTACGCCGGCCGTGAGGCGGCGGCTTGTGGAGAGGGTGCTTTCAACTCGATATCGAAAAGAGCGGTTCGACAGGAAGGCCTGGATGGTGTGTACGAGCCTATCTGGCACTTTGAGTGTGTACAGCTTGTAAAGCAAGCCGTTTTGCCAGACCTTGTCGAATGCTTTTGCGACATCGAAGAAAAGAGCCCCTGTACTAATATGTTTAGGGTGATTTAGGCCTTTTAGGATATGTTCCGTTAGGCGGAATAGTTGATCGGGACAGGAATGTCTAGCTCGAAAGCCGAATTGTTCCGCCGGCAGAAGGCCGTTGGAAAACACGTGCTCATTGAGCCTGTTTAATAAAAGCCGCTCGTAGAGCTTCCCCAGGCAACTGAGGAGGCTGATGGGACGATAACTAGAGGCTGGTTGGCTGGTTTATTAGGCTTGCGAATGCCGATAACCCTGGCTTCTTTCCAGTCGTCTGGAAAGGAGCAACTGGAGAGTAAAGTATTGTAAATGGTCGCCAGTAAAGAGATAAGCGGCCCAGGGAGAGCTTTAAGAATTTTGTTACTAATATTATCTGGGCCCGGGGCGGATTTGGGGTTTAAGTTTTTAATGATATCTTGAGCCTCTTCGGGGGTCACTGAATTCAAATGAGTAGTGATTGTAATCTCTAATGGATGGCTAACAAAAAATCTAAGGTTTATTAACTTTGCTTTGTTTAGGAGTCTTTTACATTTCTTTTTGTAGAAAATAGTTACGCGACAAACATTTATATAATTTTAACTTTCATTTTCCAACGTTCTGTTACTTTATAATATATTTGATACTTTACTTGTACACGATTAATTATGATGAACAGGTCTGTGTATCAGTCTGATTGTTGCGTCCAGTTGCTGACAATCAATAGGCCCGCTTTAGAATTATAAAGATCAAAAAGTGAATATTATTAAGAAATTTTGACACCGAAAATTGCCCATTGAGGTCCATAAAAATGTCTAAATGTCCGTTACCAATGTAGTACGAACTAACTGTAATTATTATTTGAACAACTCGGACTTAAAGATGAATGAATGACTACTTTATTGTCCACCACACATAAAAGGATACACAAAGTTAACAGTAGTCAAACAAATTTATCGAATCCACAATTGGCGGCCTTTTCGCTTCATAGCGATTAAAGATGACAGACAAAACTACAGTAAAAAGATTAAAGAAAAAGTTCTATGCATCATCGGACGATAAACGTAGACTTCCTAAAACCTTCGACATTTAGAGGCCTCTTGATTTTTTTATTCGGCACAATTAAAGGCCATTATGATTCAACATAAATATAACATCTACAATCAACACTAGCAATAAACTAGTTATATCACTAATGTCTACAGTATCTATGACGTGTTTATTAAAATTAATCTTCACCATCATTAAAATAAATAAATAAATATTTTAGGACACAATTTACACAACATTTTCTAGTCGCAAATTAAGCAACGCTTGTACTATGGGTACTAGAAAACTGATAAACATACTTAAACATAACTTACTTTTGTAAATATATACATTTGTACATAAATACTAGTGGACTGGACAGACGTTGCCCTGTAATCCGAATCCGGTCCAGAGTTCAGTGACATACACATGTGCAGAATAACTATACATACAGACTAGCAGACTGGGTAGACGTAGTCCTGTACACACAACTTAAATCCGATAACTTAAAAAAATTTTTAAACCATTCTCGTATCCAGAAGACACACAAAAAATTTCATGAAAATCGGTCCAGCCGTTCAGGATGAGTTCAGTGACATACACACGTACAAAAGAATTATATCTAAAGATTGACCAGACACAGAAAAATATACAATATTTTTCCAGTGGTGGGGATCTAACCCACACCCTCAAGCTAGTAACCAAATCCACAGACAGATAGAATATTAAAACCGGCCGTAACCGTCGTTCAGTAGGGTTTGTAGTAGAGACAAACGAGTCCCCTTTAAGGGCTACAATCTTACAGTGAAGACAGTGAGATGAAAAAGGATCTCGATGTAGACAAAGGTTAGGGCACTCACGCGACAGCACCTGCCCGCGGTTCCGCCGCCGGCAACAGCAGGCTATTATGATGGCCAGCACCAGCACCGTGGTCACCACGCTCACAATCATCGATATGCCCATTCTTGATGGGTGGTAATGGCCCTGGGAGAACACACCACGCTAAAATCTATGGTAGGCGACAATTGCTTTGTTATTCCAAAGTAAAGTACTATCCTTTCTTATTGTTTATTAGTACTTTTATTACATTAATTGTTTAGGTTGTAATTGCTTCTTTTTATTTAAAATATATTTTCTAGATATACATATATGAGGTAACTTAACTGGTGTTTGTTTAATTATATGTGCTTCCCAAAAAAAAAAAAATAAATAAATATCCTATATATCTGTCCACCGCTGGGTAAATGTCGCCTCTATACAGAGGGTATTAGGGCATAGTCCACCACAAGGCCCTACTGCGGATTGGTGGCCTTCACATATCTTCTTTTTTTTGTAATTATTTCAAAAATGTGCAGGTTACCTCACAATGTTTTTCTTCACCACTGAGCAAATGATAAATCAAAACTTAAAATTATCAATTTCATAGGTTGTTTGAGTCCGGATACTATCATGGCTAAAAATGTTAGTAACGGAAGGAAAGTGTTAAGTTTATCATTTGACGGGTGAACTGTACACTCTGCATAAAAAGAAAGATTTGAGCAGGTAACAAAATGTTTTTGAATCAATAGGATTTATAACAATCACAATAGTGATAAGTGTGAATGTAGTTAGAAGGTGTAAATCTAGAGGAAGACCAAGAAACTTAAGAACAAGGAAAGTTTAGGACCAATAGAGATAAGGAAGATATTAATTGCCTCAAGATCCACATTGACAATTTGTAATGAGGCTATTGTGTATTCACAAGGCATGATACCATATTATATGCTAAAATATAACAGTAGATTATTTGGTTTATAATAGGAATAAATATTACACCATCCAGCACTAACCTGTATGTAATAATGGAGAGCTATACAAATTGATGCAATAGTTAGCAGTAGTGCAAAAAAGTGCAATATAATTGATTATATTATATATAATTCATTTATTATTTTCAATCTACGCTATTATTTGAAAAACTACAACATTTGAAAAAATATAATTTACATCATATGGTATAGTCATATGATCAAGCATTGAAAAGCAGAAATATCTTGTGAAATGTAGTAAGAAATAAAAATAGAATATGATAACTACAATAACACCACAAAGCTTGTTTGCCTTCCAATCATAAAATGATTACTTATGACGTTCAGAGGCTTAACGACGATACGTTTTGAACAAGGTCAGGAGCACGGGAATATCACAAAAAACCATTCTTGCAGAGAACACAGAACTAAAATATTGAGAACCAGTGACTCACCCTAATAAATTTTTCGAAATCGTCTTCGTCGAACTCGAAAGAATTAGACATATTATTCGAAGAAGACCGCACCCTGCACTGTCCTCATAGTGGCGCGAATATAATACAATATAAATAACAAATATGTGCTGTGACTAATCAACCCGTACTTCGGGTATTCCCAGCGAAGTCTTAATAAGGAAGTTATCTTTATAATACTATTTTACTAACACGTGTGGATGCGAATTTATTAAATTGCATGAAATTTGAAAAAAATTGCAAAATTTCTCACGGGTTTTATTGTTGAGCAGGAATGTTCTCTTAACTTACAAATATGTCAATTGTCAAATTACAATTGACAATAACAATTGCCATAGATGATTACAATACTCTGTGATCAACACAGCCTAAATGAAAAAAAACAGTTGTACTTTTTATTCAATTGATTTGGGTCCACAGAACACTAATACTCTACGTTTCGATCACAGTCACAGAACTTAAATCAACTCCAATCCAAGACCAGGCACAACCACAGCACATAATTATGATATATACTCTAGAAAGGGCACAATTAGGAAACTAAGAAAGAATGTAATAAAAGATATTGAACCTCAATATTGTCAGGTAGGCAGGAAAAATTACCTTTTAAATATTATACTCATAAGTAAAATATCAAATACCTATGCGAAACTACTGTTATTTTACTCAGTGTTGCCAACTTAGGGCTTTTAGCCCCAAATTTAGGGTGGAAATATGCATGTTTTAGGGCTTTTTCTAGGGTTCAAAAAAATCGAGGGCCATGAATAATATTTCATTAATCAATATTTTCACTGACCAGAGTGAGTTAAATAAAAGCAAAATGTCTATTAATTAATGAAATTAATGAACTGTTTGTTAATATTGTGTTGTTTTGTTCATTATTTCAAATATTTGTAATGAAAAGTAATTAAAATCTAAGTGATCTTATATGTACGTAAAACTCATTTACACAATATTTTTGAATTCAATACAGGGCTTTGCCAGAATTTGGGGTTTTTGAAAATTGCATTTAGGGTTATTTATGCCATGTTGGCAACACTGATTTTACTTAATATTGCAAATTAATTTTAGATAGATTTAATTTTTTAAATATTATATCAATAAAGATTGTAAAATTTTAGTTTAGACATTCCATATATGATTTTTACCTTCATTTATTAAATATAATAATAATCTCCTTTATATTTACTAAAAATATTTAATACTACTAGAAATGTACTTCAACATTCTGTGATTCTGTGCGATAACTTTCTGACATTACTTATAATTTTTATAGCAAGCAACACAATTCAATATTAGTAATTTAATGCACAGAGAAAAACCAAAAACCATAAAATCTTTATTAAAAAAAAAAAACAGATCAAAAACATAGTTATAACCTCAAACGTAAATAAGAATTTTGTAAATAGACGAAAATGTCTATATTACGTAGTTTACTTAAAATTAAAACATCAATAACCGTTCCAAATTCTACTTGGTTGTCATTAATCCCTGGTGTGAATTCTAATTCTTTACACACTAGTGCAATATGCTGTGCAGCGGTTAAAAAGACAGCAGCTGCGGGAGGTACAATAATGTATAATTGAGAACAATATACAATTAAGAACTAATTATTTTATACTTAAATAACATGACCAGCTTATGCTATGGTAATTCATATATTATAATTACGATAACTTAACCTAAGTTATAGAATTAACATATAGGTAGAAACTGTGGTTTTTTGGGAGGATCGTACGGAAATTAACTCAGCCTCATAAAACACCAACGTGAAGTATTAAACTTTCATTTATTAGCGTTTCATTTAGTTATATAAATTAGGGATTTTTGATGTTAATAAATAAAAATAAACAAAAGCCTGATGACCTTATTTTTTCTGATAATATTTAAATTTTTACAGGTGTTCTTGGCCTTGGTAAAGGTAAAAAGAAATTGAGTAAACTCAGCACAATGGAGAAAAAAGTACTTCCAGTGGAGACAGACCCGGAGAAGCTGGTGAGCCAGGTTTGCGGTTCTAATATTTATATAACAGGGGAGGATGTTCAGGTAAGATTAATTATATCATGTACAAATTAGTTATTTTTTATCTATAAGTTTATTCATAATAGTAGTAGTAACGGCGGTAGGGCCACACAGCAGCCTCGGCTGTTGCACGAATGGGCAGGGTCGTCCGGGTAAGTACCACAACCTCACAGAAGACCGGCGTAAAGTCGAAATGTAACACTTTCGCGTTTCGTCTGGTGAGTGAGGTAGCCGGAGCCCAATTTTCAAAAGGTTGTCAATGCATTCGCAAACCTCGGGTGTAGCAGATGTCCATGGGCGGCTGTAATCACTTAACATCAAATGAACTGCCTGCTCGCTTGGCAATTTTTCACATAAAAAAAGTTATGTACACACACATACTGCAGTTATTCAAGCGAACTGTAGAATAGGCATCTCATATTTGAGAGATTCTTTAATTTAATGTTATTCTATCGATTCTTTAATTCCAATCTAGCTGAAGGATGATAGCGAGTATCCAGATTGGCTATGGACCCTTAACACTAGCGGACCTCCCAAAATCGAAGACTTGGACCCTAGCACTAAAGAGTACTGGCTACGAGTGAGAGCAGCTGGTATGAAAAGAAATAACCGGCTCAAGTCTATGAGGAAGTTTTAGCATGTGATAATTATATTTTAGCCTATGTGAAATTGCTATAGACAAAACTTTCATTGAAATTAATTCTCATGTCATTTAATGAAATGAATTTATGTAGAAGATTATTATTAGACATATAAGTTTGTATTCTTCATGAATTTCTAAATCTAAAGTCAATCCACACAATACAAAGTTTTTGTGAATAGCAATTGGCACATATTATGCATAGATAATTATATAGTGTATAAAAGTATGATATAAAAACTAAGTGAGTTTAATAGATTTGTTTTTTTATTTGTTTACAATAACATAACAATGACATGACTGGACATAACTATCTCAAACATGTTAATTTTTTAAAAATAATCATCAAAATTCAAGATTAAAATTGAGCAAATCAGTTCAACTTTATAACAGTTAGTACACCATAATTCTGCAGTTTCCAAATATAATTTTTTGTGTTCCGTTGGCATACTTTTATTTTGGTCCAAAAGATGTAAGCTTCTTAATTGCAGCTAATTTATTATAGACAATCCATTGTGTCTTCCTTAATGATCATGGGAGGAGCATATTCGTTGTGCTTTGTGCCAAAAGAGTAAGAATATGGATTCTGAAAACAAACAAACATTTTATCTAGGGCATGACAACATAATAGTTGCAGGGATTTGTCCCTGCAACTATTACGCAATTAATTTGCATTTAAATTCACAAAAACGTATCGTATTTTACTATGGTAGAGACACGCAACAGTATTCGCTATTGCACAAATGGGCAGGTCTGTCAGGGGAAATACCACAACCTCTAAGGATACTGGCGTGAAGTAGAAGTTGCATTCGTCTGGTGAGTGAGGTAGCCGCGACCTACTTTATGCATACAAGATTTTACAGCTCTCTCTTGTTTCTGTCTAAGAAATCTATGATTACATCTAGTATTTAATTCTCTACCCATTTTGGATGCGATCTTAAATAACTATGAATAAGATAAAATAAATATTTATTTATTAAATATTTCGGGGCATACTTTTTTTTACCTTTTATCTAATCCCAATCTAAGAAAATCTTGTACTATTGGTACTAGGAAATCGATAAATGTACGTTTTTCTTAATAAATACATATTGATATATAAAAATCCGGGCACTAAAAAAAACCGCCATATCCATCATACAATATTTTTCCAGTAGTGGGGTCGAACTCACATAATTTAGCGCTAGAAATTTTCATTCCACTGTGTCAAGTGAACTGTCGTTGTTTTCTCCAAAAGCTGCTTATTGTTTTCATCCCTAAAAGCGCTTAATGATAAATACACTACCTTGAGAGTTAGCGTATGATTACAAACGTTGATAGTTGTAGTATTCCGGACGTCCAATAACAGTCAAGTGAATGCAGCGGATTGGTGTGATCTCGTGTTCTTGTAGCAAAGGGGTTGTTGCCCCATTACTTCCCCATTGCTTCCCTGGTACGAGATCGGAAGGTGGCAAAGGGCGCTTGATCAAAACGTCCACCGTTGGTTCAGACGTTACTACATACCTTTTTGGTGTTGTAGAGATTGGGCGGGTAGGCGGCGGGGCCGGGGGTGCGTGTGGCTTTCCCAGCGCCCACCAAACGCGATGCCAGCGTGTAACACGGCGGTCTGAACATTTTTACACAACGTTCTCTAGTCCCAAACTAAGCAACGCTTGTACTATGATATAAGATAACTGATGAACATATTTAAACATGCTTTTCTTTTATAAATAAATACATATTATACACATATATAGTATTTTTCCTGTAGCGGGGATCGAAGCCACACCGTCAGGCGCAAGAGGCACCGTTTAGCTTAGTTGGTAAAGCATCTGGGTACGAAACCAAAGACGCAAGTTCGAATCTCGCGTCGCCGAAAGCTTTTATTCATTTATCTATAAAGATCTACAATTTAAGGTTCACCTTGAGCGCAGAGACCAGGCAATAATAAAAATGAATCATAAAAAAATGTTTTCCCTTACTTTAGGATAACATTATCCCGTGTTGTAAGGACGTTTAACAAACGCGTTTATATTTCACGCGGATATACACCCAGATGCGAGACAACTATCTGCGAGTCGCAGCAAAAATAGTTGCCCCGTGTAGGAATCTAACCTACGACCCCCCGACTAACCGGAGCCAATGCTTTGGCAACTTGGGTGGTAGTTGTTGACACCTGTCAAGAAATCAACAGCGGATGTTAGTTGTTGACGCCCGTCATCCACAAGCACCCTTTTTTTTGGTATCGGGGGGATCTCTTCGAAAGATACCCTGTCACCTTACACGACAGGGTTATGTGGGGTACCCACTAAAAGCCCCTCGGTGGACACACTCGGTACTGCGCCAGAGCTCGCCTCGGAGAAGGGTAAACCTCGATGAACGAGCATCCGCCGCCACCCACCTCGTCCTGTAAACGTCCGCGTCCTGCTGGAAGTAGACGGCGGGGCCGGGCGAGCGCGCCGGCGGAGCGACGCCGAGGCGCGCCGCCATCGTGTAGGCGGGCGTGCCGGGGCCCAGCTGCGGCGCGTACGCGTTGGGCGCGGGCCCCACGCGGCGCGGCGCCACCTCGGGCCGCGCCCCCAGCGAGTAGTGCGGCGCGCGGGCGCCGGCCGGGCACCGCTCCGGCGCGTGCGCGCCCGGCCCCGGCGTGCGGAGCGTGCTGCGCGCGCCCAATCTGAGGGCGGATGGGGGAGCCCTTACAGTACTTTTTTTATTCTTTTTAGATTCTTCTTATAGGTGCTCTATCCTATCGGCCGTCGTAATCTGAGGGGGGATGAGAGAAGTGCTTACAATATTCGCTGTTGCACGTATGGGCATGTCCGTCCGGGTTAGTACCACGACCTTGCAGAAGACCAGCGTAATGTGGAAGTGTTACACTTCTGCGTTTCGTCTGGTGAGTGAGGTAGCCGGGGCCCTCTTAGTTAAAGGTGGCAACACATCTGCAACCGGCGATGCTAATGTTATCGGCGGGTACCACAACATCAGGTGAACCGCCAGCTCGTTTGACACTTTCTCACAAAAAAAAAAGTATTTTTTTTTTTTTTTTTAAATTCTTTTTAAATTCTTTTTGGGGGTGCCCCATCCTATCTGATGTCGGCCACCACCACACGGAGCTCTTTTCTATTCTGCGCCAATCTACAGAGACTAACTACTGGCGTCCTTGATGTCTGTCCATATTTTCAAATTGTCACTCCATGTTATCTTCGTCCTCTTCCTCTTCGTTCTCTTTAGATTAGATTGAAATATTAGCTCTTCAATGATATCTAAAATTATTTCGTCTTCTATAACTTCATCCTGTCTTGAAATTGCTATGTTGTCGAGCACTGCACATGGTACAATAACCAGAGAGATGTTTTAACTTTTGGACGTAGTCTGTGATGAAGACAGGGATTTCTTGCTCTAACATGACAACGATTATACGCTGCTTCATCTGTAGTGTAGTCTCTTGAAACGGGCCAGTTCGCAAAGTCCCTCGGATTGAAGTGTTGAAGTCGCTTAGCAATAGGCCACAAAACCACTGGCCGGAAGAGACAGCTATGGCATTTGTGTGACCTGTGATTGTTTCTAATTTGGATATATTGTAGAGTACAAGCGTCTATTCGCAACTTCGTTTGTCAGAAATTTAACAAAAAAAGGTTGGTTCTCTTCCTATGTGACGTCATCAGGCGGTTCTTGATTTTTTTTAAAAGCTGGCAAGTGAGCTGGCGGTTCACCTAATGTTGAGAGATCACCGCTGCCCATGGACATTTACAACACCCGTAGGGTTACAAATGCACCTTTAAATAAAGTACCGATGGAAAATAATTTCAAAGCTATTTTTTGTGCATATATAATGTATGTATATTCCTAATATGTATTTAGTAAAACGCTAATATGTAGAAACTAATAAAAAAACTACAACAGCCACTTCAATTTTATTTAATCACATAACTTTTTTTATTTAAAAAAATAGAGGAAAAGGTTCATGAAATAAAAAAAATCGAAATGGCTGACACCACCGGACACACATTAGATAGAATAAATGAAATTAATAGAAACTATGACAATCATTTTTAAAGTAAATACTGTTGTGTTGGTGAAGTATCCTGAAAATCCAGATAAGTATAATATGTATGGTTTAGGCCAAATTTGACAGACCTGGCTCCGAAACTCCAGGCGGGCGAAGTCATTATACCATCCCTGGTGACTTTTTCGATGCGGTACGCTGGACCAGGACTGAGGGGGGGAGCGCGGAAGCCGACGGCCGCCCCCAGGGAGTACATGGGGTTCCGGTATCGGGATGGGTCGTGCTGACGGTAGCCCACCGTCGGGGGCAGGGCGTAAGCGCCTGGGCCAGGGCCTGGTGATATAGAAAAGAGCATTTAGAGCGCCAATCACTTCTTCTGCGGAGCCATGGAAGTTTCCGGGATAGCAACCGGGGGAAGTGCAATGGCCTTAGTGGTTATAGTAAGAGTAAACTTTACGGTGGTAGAGCCACGCAGCAGCCTGTTGCACGTAAGGGCAGGCTCGTCCGGGTAAGTACCACGACCTCACAGAAGACCGGCGTAAGGTGGAAGCATAATACTTTCGAGTTTCGTCTGGTGAGTGAGGTGGCCGGAGCCCAATTTTCAAAAGGTTGTCAACGCATCTGCAACCCTCTGGTATGGCAGATGTCCATGGGCGGCGGTATTCACTTAAGATCAGGTGAACCATCTGCTGATTTGAAACTTTTCACAAAAAAAAAATAAAGCTCTGTAAGAATCACTCGCAACGGGTAGACTATGCTAATGGTGTCGTTCATTGTGACGTTCTAAAGGGAGACTTGTTCGACGTTGGATGAATAATAATTATCATCTGTTGTATCATCCTGCATCGTCTGATGATGCTCTTTGTAGTACAGCAAAGCTATATTTTGTGTCGGTGCGTATATGTGGCGCCACATCGATGACGGCCTTACGGAAGAGCGAAAGTAGAAGAACATATGTTTATACTTTTAAGGTTCTTTTGATGTGTGAGGTAAGGAGAGGCCTATTCTCTTAAAGGTACAAATACTTCACTTCAACCATCGACAGGTGTCGCGCATGTGCATTGGCCTTTGTAGCCGCTGAAACATCATCTTCTATAAAAACCGAGTGTTTTTAATTTTTATGTGTCATAAGCTATGGGCGATGCCACATTTGACCTAACTTCAAACGTAACATCGGATACCTTAAATGACCGGTCCAAAGAGGTACAGCCAAAGAATTTCGCAGACATTATTTAATGTTGACGCCGAAGGGGGCAGTGGGTTCCATTCCCACACGGGACAACTATTTGTGTCATCCACAGAGTTGTTTCGCATCTGGGTGTCTGGCCGCGTGAATTTTATGTTTGCAAAACGTCCTTAATACACAGGATAATGTTATCTTAAAGGGCAATGTTTAAAAAAGTAAAAAATAATGTGTCGTGGAAATTAGGGTGATAATGTTAACGTAGTAACGCGACGTCATATCACTACGTCAAACGTTAATTCGAACTCTGTTTCAGGCTCAAATCTAGGTGACTTGCAATGAGTTTCTTATTAGTTTCTTACGAGAAAATAGCAGTCAAAAGTGTATACTAGTTTAGGCTATACAAATGAGAACTGGACTATTGTTATCAATTGTTTAATAATAAGGTCCATTTAAAAGTTCTAAGTAATTATGGCAGGAGATATCTTAGTGTAGTCCTAAATTGTTAGCGTTTCTCAGACTCTCACCTAATGGTTTCTTGGACATTTTAAAATTTTGTTAGGTATATTCGTTGCGGATTCACTGAAATTTCACAAATATTCACTTCGACATAATTTTGACGTGAGTCGATGACGACGCAAGCGTTGCGGTCGACAACAAACAAATGAATTGACACTTGAAAGTTTCGTCTGTGGGTGGCTTGATATTAAAGAGTTTGAGATGTCCTAAAAAATGTATGACAATTCTCCAAGTGTTGGCAATCTAGCTGATGGTTTTTCTTATTTGAGCGGGTGGGAAGCGAAACGGCGAGTAACAACAGCCTGATGTTAAGTGGATGACCCATGGGTCATGGACATCTACAACACCTCGTGATTGCAGTATATTGATGTGATGATTTTTGTTGGTTGTTAGTTAATATCTAATAAAGAAAAGTAAAAGAGTAATAGCCTGTACATGCCCCACTGCAGGGCAAAGGCCTCCTCTGTACAGGCTGTATTAGGGCGTAGTCCAACACGCGACTGTATTGCGGACTTCATATAATTAACCACATATAGTATATTGAATTTAAAAGAGCTATCATAGATAATAGCTCTTTTAAATTAGCTTATTAGCACCGCGTAAGCTTACTAACCGCCTGAGTTATAGAACCGATAGCCGCTGGGGAAGAAAGGGCGGCAGCCTCGAACTGGCCATCGCAGTGTGGGAGGCCCGCGCTAGATGGAGTGACGACCTGTGCAAATGTGCGGGAAGTGATGGATACAGGCGGCTCAGGATCGCGTTTCGTGGCAGTGTGTGGGGGAGGCCTATGTTCAGCAGTGGGCTAAAACAGGCTGAAATGATGATGATGATGATAGCCAATAGTAGTACCTAGTTGCAGGTGTGTTGCCAACCATTCAAGCATTGGGTATTGGTTACCGGACAGATGGAATTAAAAGTATAGTGTTACCACTTTTTGCCACCGGCGCCGTGAGGCCGTGGTAATTCCTCAGAGCCTGCCCATTCGCACACTAGTTGAACTTGCTTCTTGATCCACAGTAACCACAATAAGGTAGGGCAACTCAACTAGTTTAGTTAACTTTGGTAGGGCCACGTGACAGTTTTCGCTGTTGCACGAATAGGCAGGTGTGCCTGGGGAAGTATCACGACGATAATGAACACCGACGTGAAGTGGCAGTGTCGTATTTCTGCGTTTATCCGGTGATGGAGGTAACCTGGGCACAATTTATTAAAAGGTGGTAACGCATCTGCAACCCTACTGATGTTTCAATTGTCCGTGGCCGGCATTTCAATTAAAATCAGGTGGACCGCTAGCTCGCTTGCCATTAAACCTTACATAAAAAACCTATATTAGTCAATTTAGATTTATTTCAGTAGCTAATGGACATAACTTTCTACTACATGTACAAAAATATATACCTGTCCAGGAAAGGACAGGAAAGAAGCGATACGGTGAAATATACATTTTTGATATTTTTAAGCGATAACCGTCGCCCAAAAAAAAGATACGCTAGAAAGGTTTCACGCAACACCACAATACTTTTACTGACGCACGATTGTCTTGATAGTGTGATTTCCCTCACTCTCCAAACCGAACAATAACAAACTGTACATTTATTTCCTGTGAGCTCGTTATTAGGGTTCCGTACCCAAAGGTTAAAACGGGACCCTATTACTAAGTCTCCGCTGTCTGTCTGTTCGTCTGTCACTCATGAACCGTGATAGTTCACAGTTGAAATTTTTGAGATGATGTGTTTCTGATCCCGATGTAACAACAAATACTAAAAAATAGAATAAAAAAACAATTTAAATGGGGCTACCATACAACACACATGTTTTTTTAGCGTTTTTATAGAAAAAGGTACGGTTAAACCTTCGTAAGAGGTCCGACTGGCACTTGGTCGTTTTTTGTAAACATAAATATGGTTATAATGAAAGTTCTATATGGTTTGATATTTTTTATTTTAATTAAGTACACACGATAAACATTGTAATACATTTCTAGTCATTAATTAAAATTTATAACAGTTAACGGCCAACGTATGTAACCGTATTGCCGTCAGGATATTAGGTCTGTATTTTTCTTAATTAATAGTTTTTATAAAACGATAAGTGATAATCTTGATTATTTTACCAATGTCGCTGGCTGGTATTTATTTGCAACAAAATAGATTAGAGTATAACTAGCAATTTATTATTTAATTATTTAAAAACTTTTTGCACAATAACGTACAATGGTGGACTTAACACCATTAGGTGTCCTCTACCAGTCAACCGATAAATAAACAGAGACAATAAGGAGGTGCGAAAGAGCATAACAAACAAATAAGGACGAAGGATGTTACAAGTTAAGATTTATGTCACAGGTATTGTTAAATGTTTTGGTGTTACTCAAATTGTTCTCTCATACCTAAACCATTCATCCATAATAACTTAAATATTCAATATAATCACAGTATCTTTTACGAAGTAAATGACTACACACACAACATTAAAGAAGACATCGATATGGCAAATTAACTAGTAATGTCAGAGAATAGTAGTGATGTTCAAAATGCGACCAGCTTAACGCAGAGGTGTGAGCTCGGCTACTTCTTCGTCGCTGTCGATGTCCGTGGGAGTCCCCGCCCCCCACTGCAACATGAGAATACAGTTTGTGTTTTTTTTTGTAATGTGGAAAAATTGGCAAACGAACTGGTGGTTCAAAAAATGGTAAGTGATATTTGCTGCCCATGGCCATTTGCAACACCAGTAGGGTTGCAGATGCGTTGACACCTTTTAGTAAAAAGGGCCGCGGCTACCTTACTCACTAGACAAAACGCGGAGTAATAACACTTTTGCTTCAAGCCGGTCTTCTGTGAGGTCGTGGTACTTCCCCAGACGGACCTGCCTTACCACTGTAAGTACAAATCTAAGTATCGATTCTTCTTCTAGTTATCGATTTCTTAATGGTCTCATATCCAAGACGACGGTTTTCACAACCATCAATATTCCATAACAGCATCAAAATATCAATATAACTCGTCTATAATTACCCAGTTTAGCAAACACAATTTGTTATGAAAACCCGTATGGAGATTCGATGTATTTCGTTTCTAAAACACAAATATTATGACATCGATACGGATCGCTGAGATTTCCGAATAACACGAGAAACTGTGGGTCGGTAAGGTTGTTTAAACTTGTCATGGTTAGTTTGTAAACATTCACGCTGCCGGCGGGTAAAACACATAAACTCACTGAAACGAAGTTTCCCTAAGCCCCACTCAGAAATCACTATTAGCGCCTGATTAGTAGTGACTGAGTCTAAAAGACATCTAAATCAACATCCACTTGACATATCTCCTTCACGATTTAATTCCGGCCTTTCGAATAAAGTTTTAATCCAACCTGTGCGGAGAGCGGATGCTCTCGTAGAGCTTTGTAGAGAACGACCGCGTAGAGTAGGTTCGCTACGCCGAGGGCCCGTAGCGCCGTCTCAAATCCCACTGCCCAAGACAGCACCCCGCCCACTATTGGACCTGATGATACGAGTTTAATGCCACAACACTTATTTATTAATTATCAGATAGTAAGATTTTATTAAGTATACAAATGACAAACTAAGTGCATTAATTTATGAAATTAAGTAATCCTAAGCTTTTAATCAACATGGACAACTTTCTTTTGTTTATATTTTTAACGGACAGAAGTGGAAAGTTATTTGGATTGGATGTTCCTCAGGATTGCTGCTCCTTAGAAATGAATTACGGCTAAATAATTAAAATAAAAAATACCATAACCAAATAAAATAGTTTGTGAAACTAATGACTCTCAGGTATATTAAAACTGTATATGCATTAGAACTCGTCACTCGTATTTGTTAAATAATCAAGGCATTAGTTAATATTGTTAGTAGATAAGCAAATGTTCTAAGGCCACGGCATTTGCTAACTCAAATAAGCTCAAATAGAATAGGCGTGTGTGTTGCTTCAATTACCTGGATTTGTCTTGAAGCAATAATTGCTTGACACCCATTCGACGAGACAAATCAATATTTGATGTTAGCTAAAATCTTATGAATTATTAGCAACGACATTGACTAGCGAAATTAATTTGTATCAATAAATGTGTTTTATATTACGCATTTTTACAATTAAAAAGAATTTTTTAAAGCAAAAAAGTAGGAATAATTAATACTAATTGCTTTTTAATTATCTTATATTTCAAATCGCATCGTGTGAGCAAAATATATACACCACGAAATTAATCTTATTTAAGTTTTGATGTGTGTGACAGTTTTAAAGATTTACAATTGGGTTGCTCTTGAGAAATGTATCCTATCCCCCGATAGTTAAATGTTCAATCTCTCGCACACTGGGCTACTATACATAGGGCTTTTTTATTTATTCATTTTATTTTATTAGGGATGTTTGTTTACCCTAATAAAATAAACTACAATATATGACATAAACAGAAACATTATCCACGTATTCAACATTATTATCATAATTCTTCAATTATGACTTTATCCGTATTCCAATAGATACAAAAAATTACTATCTATATATTAATACGAGAAGCAAAAACTTTGTACCCCTTTTTACAAAAAATGCGCGGACGGATGAGTATGAAATTTTGCAACACTTATAGTTAATGTATAGAGAAGCAGTGTAGAATGCTAATATTTCTTTTAATTATGCATAAAAAATACATTAAATAAAAAAAAGCATTACACATAATACTGGCGACCACTAGTATACAGTATACACAAATATTGCAAAACGATAGACACGCATGTGATACAGATTTTGTCATAATACATGACGATAGAGTTAATAATGGGTACAGCATTTGGTAAAATAATTACACATTTACTTGTATATCACGCAAGCTCACTCAGGGTTACTCAGGGTTTTAAAGAAGCAGTGCATAATGATGACCTAGAGCGTATGCCGCGCTGGCGGCAGCTTGGAGCAATGCGGCCAGCTGTGGCACTCTTCGTGGCCGACGAGCGAGCAGGGCTGGCGCCAACGCGGCGTCGGCGGCGCCCAGGCCCACGCCCAGGCAGAGCTGGGGAAGCACGAGGGCCCACACCTGCGTGGGCAACTATCTCTGTCAGCCTCTTCGAACTGTGGCTGGCCACGCAACATTACTCGCTGTTTCACGAATGGGCAGGACGTCCGGTGATGTACCACGACGTCACCGCAGACGTGAAGTTTATACTTATGCGTTTCGTCTGGCATTTGAAGCAATGCTTGGCGCATTCCGAAGACTTGGGTTCGATTCCCACAGCAGCGACAAACTTTTCGTACTTTTGTCTACAAATTTTAATGTTTGATCTTAAGTGCAGAGATTTGCACTATAAAAAATTTAAATTTCTAAAAAGTAATTATTTCTTTTTAATGGGGGTCTTGCATGATCTGTTCGTGGAAACAAAATATCTGCAGTTCTCTACCGCAGTGAAATGAAACAATACTCAAAATATACAAACTGAGGTAGCGTATGGTACTGCCAAGGCCGCCAATCCGACTGCCACTTGGCCAAGCAACGCCACCCGTTCGGCACCCACGTATTTCGTTACTTCACCAAGCGAGCTTGTAGCTATCAGGTAGCCTAAGCTGTCTAGTAAAAAGAGAAGAAATTAGAAGAATTGTCTGATGCTGAAGGGATTACAAACAATGTTATCACTTCTAGATTTAATTGTGGTTAGGAAGTTCGAATGTTGTAGTCAACATTCGAACTACATTGGACCATTGTTAGTTAGTAACTAACAATGGTCGTAGAAGCAAAGAATATATTTCTTCGGGGCACATTTTTAAGTTACCTAGTCCCAAACTAAGCAAAACTTGTTCTATGGATACTAGTTTATTGATAATAATACTAATATAATAATAATTGATTATACTAGACGATCGATAAATGTAATTTTCGTTTGTAAATAAATACATATTATAGATATTCAAACACCTAGACACCAGGAAAACACTATGTTAATCACACAATATTTTCCAATATAAATCAAATTAGAAATAAGACATACACATAAAATAATCGTATGAGCTCTGCGTTTCACTGATCATTTTAGAACGATACTCAAGTAAACCTCTAATGTAAACGGCTGTAGAAGTACGAAATAAAAAAACAATATAAAAAATTAAAAGTATTGGCTTCGGCGTCGGCGTGGGAATCGAAGCCAGGACGGCTTCGATTCCCACGCGGGACAACTATTTGTGTGACCCATAGATAGTTGCTGCACATCCGGGTTTTCAGCCACGTGAAATTTGTAAAACGTCCTTTCAACACAGGATAATGTTATCCTAAAGTAAGGGCAATGTTTTAATATAAAAGAATTAAATAAAAAAAACACCTGGTAGGAAGGCGGCGCCTGTCTGCCACCGCTTCGGGTGGAACTTGTGCAGCATCCAGAGCGGCAGGCAGGGCTCCAGCGCCGCCATCACGCTGGTGGTGAGGAGAACGGTACCGGCGCACTCAGCCGCAGCCCCTCTCCGCGCCACCCTCCACACCGCTTCGGGCTCCGCTTGAATTTCGTTGTTGTTCACAACCTCGGCATGGATCTAGAATGGTTGCGTGGTATATATATTTCTGTGGTAGGGCCACGCAGCAGTCTTCGTTGCACAAACAGGTCCGGTTATATCATGCAAGTTCTTTTAGATGTACTTGGAGATAAGGTACTCAGAGTTATATATAGTACCACAGTAAGAGTATTTCTTTTTTCTTTTTGTCTGAAGAACTTTGCCGCAAAGATTTAAGATGCACAGACTAATTTTTTATTGAAGAAATTTTTGCCAGAGACAATAAGAACCCAAGGAGTAAGAGTAAGACAGAAAAAAGTTGGTCCATGTAAAATCTTGTTTAGTTTATATATTAGAATTACAAGCACTAGTAATTGTTGTAAATGACGGCCGGGTGAATTGTAGGATTTTGTGTTTAGCATTTGTCTCGTTTTACTTACTTGGTTATAGTCTACTCCTCCGAGGCACACATACTGCAATCCTAAAAATAAAAATAAGGTAATTATTTGTAGACATTCATCATCATCGTCATTTCAGCCTGTTTGAGTCCACTGCTTAACATAGACCTCCCCCATAGACTGCCACGAAGTATTATCCATCGACTTCTCGTACACTTGCACAGGTCGTCACTCATTAGGCATTACGTTAATATAAATTAAAATCAAGTATAGAAACTATATACTAGATACTTTATATATAAAAGCTGCAATTTAATGAATAAAAGGATACACGTGTTTATTGATACCACAATGGTAAAACTGAGCTGTCAGTTTTCTTCAACGTTTTCTTCTAGATATAAAGGTTTTTTAATAAAAATGTTACATTAAATACAATTGAAATATCAAAATAGAATTGAAAACTTTTGGCTAAATTAAGGTTTACATTGGTGAAGAAAATATTAGAATCGACTCAATAGTTCCAGAGGTCAGTCAATGAACACAAGGAATCAAAAAAATTGTAACTCCTGTAAAAAATAAGGCATCAGTAGTAATATAATCGTAACTTAAGATTACTCAATAATGAAACATTCGATATTTTGTGTATTTAGTGGTATACTCTCAGCCAGAGATAATCAATTCAACAAGCTCAAAACATTTCTCTACTTGGATATTATGATTCTTTTTGAAAATGATAAATTTTTTCAAGTTTATAGTATCCTAAAGTTCACATCAAGCTGTCTCAATTCCAAGTGTCGTTGTAAACCCAGGTAAACCCTCAACAAATGTAAACCCAGGAACAGTGATAAAACACAAACATATATGCAAATATGTGTAGGCACATACTAACTAAAGATACTTGGTTAACTGAAACTATTACTGTATGTCCCGTGGTGATGAAAGCTTGGGAGCTCAAAACTTTGGGAATTTAATAGTTCCATTTAACCATAAAAAGGGGAAGAAAGGTTCTCGAATGGCAGCCTCGTACTGGCCATCGCAGGGTAGGATGACCCCCACTAATGGAGTGACGACTTATGCAAGTGTGCCGTAAGCCGATGGATGTAGGTTGCTCAGGATCGTGGCTTCGTGGCAGTCTGTGTCGGAGGTCTATGTTGTGAGGCCTGAGTGGACTCAAACAGGTTAAAATAATAACGATGATGAACCATAAATATACTCATTATTAATATTAGGTACCAAGGTCCAAGAGTAAAGAGATGCACAGAAGCTGGAAGGGCGCCGCTGGACTCCAAAGCGTATAAGCCGAACCTCCAAACGGATATCCGACTAATACACCTGAAAATGAATGTTCCAAATGAGGGATTTAATCAGGTACAGAAGCAAATAGGGAATTAAAGCAAGAAAGAATATGTTAAGAATTAAATACATTTTTGAAAAAGTCAAAAAATATAAAATAAGTAACAAGTCCACTTTTATATTAACAAAAAACAAAACCGACTTCAAATATCTCGCTCTGTATTCATTTTACAATTATTTTCAGGCGTTCCCTAAGTAACTCCGGAGCACAAGATCCAATATCAATGAAATTAACATGGGACCACGTGGGAAGCACGAGCTTTCAAATAAAAAAAAAAAGAACCATCAAAATTGGTTCGCTCGGCCGAAAGTTCTGAGGTGGCAAACATAAAAAGGAAAAAAATACAGTCGAATTGAGAACCACCTGAAGTCGAATGAAAAAGCTGTTTGCGGTCCTTTATATTTATGTGTTAAAGATGGCAACGCATTCATAGTCCTTCTAATGTTGTCAATGTTCATGAGCAGCGATAACACTAGTGGTATTTCTGCATCTACTCTGGTGTTGCAAACGCGGCAGTCGCTGGCCTCTTACAAGGCTGCGAAAGTTACCGAGAGCGACAGCGCCTAGGAGAGCCGCCACGGCGCGGTCCCGGCGCGGTGGTGGCGTGGCAGCCGCCAATGCCAGGCCGGACACCCCCGCCAGGGCCGCGCCGGCACCGTGGACGATCCTCCCCAGACCAGCGCCCCACGCCGCGCTGCCCACCCTCGCGCACCAAGCGAACACTGCCGACATTACCAGGCCATCTTTTTTTTTATTTAAATATATTAGGACACATTTTTACACAACATTTTATAATCCCAAACTAAGCAACGCTTGTACTATGGGTACTAGAAAACTGATAAACATACTTTAATGTAATTTTATTTTGTAAATAAATACATATTATACATAATATAAACACCCAGACACTAGAAAAACACTATGTTCATGACACAATATTTTTCCAGTAGTGGGGATCGAACCCACACCCTCTGGCGCATGAGGCAGGTACACTATGCAGAAAGGCATTGCCACCATTGAATAAATTGGGCTCCGGCTACCTCACTCACCAAACGAAAAGCAGAAGTGTAGAAACAAATGTAAGAAGTAAATCAATATGACGCACAAGGTTCTTGTAGTGTGAATTTCTGTTCAAGGATATTTGCATATTTTCTCTAATTGTCACAAAGTCGTACTGTTTCCTAGAAAGGCGTTAGATTCTGTACAACACATAGCGAAATATGTGTTTTGCGCGTCTAAAAGAGAAGGAATTTCTGGTATCACCAGCCGCTGAAGTTGCCAGGAGTACGGTGGCCGCGCGCAACACTGGAACAGGTCCTCGACGAGTGACAGCAGAAGCTGCCAATGGAGCAGTCAGCAGCTGTGCAGCTGCTTTGGCACCCAGCACTGCCCCAACAGCCGCTTGAGAGCCCCCCACCCCTACAAAACTTACGAGCTTCGAGAACATTCTAAGTTCCTTGTGCATCGCGGGCTCTGAGTTGCTTCTATGTGAAGATTCTGTTCCGCTTCTCCATGAAACTACTATTCATATGTATAGTTAGTAATTTGTTCATGTGACACTTGGGTATTTTCATGGGAAATGATCGCAAGCGAGCAGACTTTCCATCTGGTGATCAAGTGATTCCCGCCGCCAATGGATAGCTACAAAACCCGATGGATTAATACGTGGCGAATCATTAAATTGAACTCTGGAGGAATCGCAGAAGTGTTAATATAGGGAGTATTATTCTGTGTTAAGCTACATACTATAGTCTTACTGAACGGAATCAATTGGGAAATGCGGTGGAAATTTCGATATAGCAACAAAATAGATTTCTACTATGGTTCTGATCCACTCAAGTTTCGTGTTGGAAAGGCTTTCGCCTAATAATCAACACATTTGAGCGGATACCTATTGCATTCGTAGTTCTATTTAGGTTCATTTTGCTTCATAAAATTTGTAGAAGAATGGGCGAAAGGTATTTCGCCGCTGTGAGGATTTGAATTTGCTTCCTCCAGAGAATATTTTCACACCGACGAAAATCTCACCGTTTTTATCTCTAATGTATTTTAAAAAATGCTTGGCGCTATATGTACAGGCTGTTTCCTTTATAGCAAACGATCTCTATTTCCTACGAAATTTTTACAATGAAACTTTTGAAAGCTTGAAATGTCACCTTTGCTATTAAAATTTAAATGAAGTATATCAATTTTTATATTCCTATTCTCTGCAATTAGATTAAAGTTGTAGAAAAATAGACGAAACAGTTTTCGCCACTGCTTAAAATGGACCTGCGTTCTCTGCATCAGACGCTTTAGCAACCTCGCGAGGTTGTTCCTCTGTAGAGTGAAGTATGGTGAATGAACCGTTTGTTCGGTCGCCATCACGTCACACAAGAAAAGGAAAAAGCTTTTTCCAAATTTTAAATGTAATATAATTTAAAAAACACAAACGATATTCTTGCTTTATAAAAAACGACATACATACCTTCATCCTCTTCCGCGTTGGTGATTTTATTCACTGTGGTGTTCAGGAACTTGACTAGTGGTGCGTCGTGAGTGGCCCAAAGCGCCAGCGACTCGCCCCGGACCCAATCGGGGATGATCGGTACTAAGAACAATTGAACATGAGCACTAATCGGCCGAAAAGATTGAATTAAAATATACTAAAAGCTTGCCAGCTCACCGAGCACAGTGAGGAGTACATTGTCCAGAAAAATGTGAGATAGACGATAGCAAAGGCGACCAGGCCCGTCGCAGGCGCGCGTTCGTCCAGCATAGCGGGTTAAAGTGCCGCGCGTCGTGTGCCGAACCGATAAAGAGCCCGATGCGTCTTCAATCAGTGCCCAGCCGCGCGTGTGGACCCACCCTAATATCATTTTCTGCTACACTCGCGCCAACTTATCGGGTGATTATATATTAGTCTTTTCAAAGAGGCTTCCCTATAACGGGCTTTCCTTTAACTGTTTCCTTATCTTATGTGTTTTATTTTCATTGCTATGATTTTATCGACTTAATTTAAATTGAAAGCGCGTGTGGGAGTCGAACCCATGACTCCCGGCGCCGAAGCCAATACCTTGGAAACTACACCGCGCAGTCATCAGATCTACCGTTAGTATTTAAAATTATTGATATTGATCTAGTTCATTATGAATGTTTTGTCCATTATGATAACGCTTTCTTATTTAAGATCCCGTCGATAAATTATCCGTCAATACCTATCTTATTTAACTACTGTTCTTTGTTGCTGTAAGTTTCACGCTGTAGAAGATAACGACAAATTAACCATAATCATCACTATCGACAGCCTCCGATACTTTGCTGTTTAAAATCGCGCGATGAAATATGAATTATAAATCCTAACACCACAGTTTTATTATTAAATTAACCTCCTCATCTGAGACTGTGCATCTAGTGGTGGGACTTGGCGTTGGATCGCTGTTTAATCGCTCCAGATTTTGATAAAAAACATTCAACATGGAAATTAATACCTACGTTCGTAAGTTATCACCGGTTCGGCAATCAGTTTCTGTTGAGAAGAAACCGCCAATAAACTCAACAGTTGCTCTTTTATAAAAAGGTCAATTTACAATATAATTGTACAGGTATAATAGTCTTATTTTAACCTACGTGTGTATCAACAGTATTAACTCTTGCTTTAGCCATAAGTTTACTTTTAATTTTTCGTTTAAATTGATCGAGTGGCATACTTAATATCCACTGTGAGATATTATATTAGGTAAAAGTTTATTATTTAACAATTATATAATTTATGTTAATTATTTGAAATCAGAATGTCTTCAATGTTTTGTCTTAAATTACCTTAATTTCACAGTGGAATTTTGGTGTCTTGTTATTTGAGAAGAAAATAATGTCCTTAAAATGACAAAAACAATTAGATTAAGATGTTGTGAGCTTCAACATTTTTAAAGTTATAAAATTACTGTGCCCAATTTTGTACAACAAACACACACATAAGAAACAGGTTTCACGTATCAACAGTTAACAATCCGTACAGTAAAAGATTTTAACAAAAAAGCTAGAAAAAAGAGGATGTTCGCCGGTTCGTTAACAATTCTCATTACACGCTTGTTAGTAACACATCTGAGTTCATCTCCTTCACCAGTCGCTAGTTCAAAATTTCCGTTTGTATCGATTCATTAAATTCATTTTTAATTTACTCTCATCCAAAACTTGTGATAGTAAATAATAAATCTTACCCTGTAGTCAAATAATACCTATTAATTATCAATGTTTACTTTGTTTAGTATATATCAGTCCTATGTTTTTATTCTATAATTATTAAAGCTCAGATTTTCCAGTACGTTAATACTTTAATAAACCTTAAATAAATACGGTGATCACAGAAATTTCACGTGAAACATTTGAAATTATTTTAATGTTTTTACAAACTTTTTCATTACAATGATAAAACCTGGTAACGGAACGCATCAATTGCTTTCCGCCCGCCGTCTGTCATTGGATGCGTTGCGTTGCGTCAAGTCAATGTCAATTGTCATTTGTGAAGTTCAGTCAGTTAGTCATTCAGTTCAGTAATCAGTCGAATCAAAATCATCGAACGTGGTGGTGTTTTCTAAAGTTTTCACAAAGCTGCTTTTATGTAAATGCATCGGGACATGGCATTAATCTCTGTAATGTGGTATTTGGGCTAGTAATCGAATTGCGTAGTGCCTTTTTTGTGTGCGTGAAGTGCAGCTAGCGGTGGTAGGCAAGTTGGGCTTAACAAAACGTTTCCGGTCCTGTGCCCCCCACGATCACCGCCCCGTTCTCCCTTCTCGTTATGGTAAGTTGATATCTTTTGGGGATCATCAGGATAATACCTTTATAAACGTGTGAATTAATATTACTTCTTCAACGTTACGTTTTCAAGTCCTATTAATTATCCAATATTTTCAATATTTCATTCACAAATGAGTTTTGAATACTACCAAAATATTATAATATTAATATTTATTTGCGCACGTTTCTTTTATTAACTAATATATTTTTTTAAACAAATGTTACTCATGAAATGAATAATAAAAAAATGGGCTTAAGGCTGTTACAAATATTCTTAAATAATAATTATTTTCTTATCAGAATATCATAAAAAACTACTGAATCAATATGAATTTCAAGAGGACCTTTTTAATTCAATGCATAAGGAGGTGCAGATTGCACAGTTTACTAAGACATCTAAAAGCGGTTGTCTTGTAAATAATGCCTGTTTGCTATTACATTATGATGCCTATGATTCACATAGCCTCACTCATAATTCAGTTATTGTATTGGGGGTTTTTTTTCATAATTTAAGTAGTTTAAATTAATAAATCTGCATTGTTAATTTTTAGGATTCTGTGCCCAAAGGGTAAAACGGGGCCCTATTACTAAGACTCCACTGTCTGTCTGTCATCCGGCTGTATTTCATGAATCATGATAGTTATAGTTGAAAGTTTCACAGATGATGTAATTCAGTTACCGCTATAGCCACATATATTAAAAATATTTAAGTGGGGTTCCCGTACAACAGACTTGATATTTTTGCCGTTTTTATAGATAATCGTATGGAACCCTTCCTACGCGGTGCCGAATCACACCTTCCTGGTTTTTTTGTCTATCAGCCACAATTTAGATTTTGGATGCATTCATTACGAAATAGAGAAAGTGTATACAAATAATATTCCAATCTCTATTCACTAAATCATTTCATTCATTGATTAGAGCTGCTACAGCAGAGACATGAACCTCTTTTATGGCCAAGATAAAATCATGAAGACTTGAGTGTCAATATCATTTGAAAGATTCTTTGTGTAAGTATTATTGACAATGATAATATTCTTATTGGAAGACAATATCTCCTATTGTATTGTAATTTCCCAGAATTGTGGTGATTACAAATTCTACTGATATTGTTCCCATATCACGTTATTACTTTTTTTTTTTATAAAAAGATTCGCAAATTATTTGTCTTTCTTGGTTTTTAATTTGTCTAGACATATTAACTATCTGAGACTAGCGGTTGTTATGAGGGCGCGTTACACAAGAGGAAGGTTCGATTCCTTTTTTTGAAACGGGACCCTACTGCTAAGACTCCGCTGTCTGTCTGTCTGTCCGTCCGTCTGTCATCAGGCTGTATCTCATGAACGGTGATAGTTAGAAAATTGAAATTTTCACAGATCATGTATTTCTGTTCCAACTATAACAACAAATAAAAAAAAAACAGAATAAGAACTATTTAAGTGGGGCTGATTTTTTTTGCTGTTTTTATAGATAATGCTACAGAAAGGTTTCCCCTTTGTGCGCGGGTCCGACTCGCACTTGGCCGGTTTTCTAATTAAATTCAATATGTATCCATACTCTTCAGTATTTAGTAATTTTATCAAGCCCGTCACACCCAAAGATTTGTTTACCGCGTTAACACTGTGAAAATGAGAATGTTCAAAGATTTTTCGCCGCGTTTACTTTCATTACATGTTCCCGACGTTTGCACTTTGCAGCTTTTAAACTCTTAGAGGAGGCTTTAGAGGGGAAAAGACAGCTTTGTGTCGACCCAAGAGTTGGGTATAATTGCGAGGGTATGGTGTGCTTTGTGCGACTGCTACACGCGCTAGGTATGATTACGGCAGGTGTATTGCTGTCGTGCGTGCCTAGTTGTAGGGAGGTCGACGACGGCCCTACGTGTTCGCACGCTGTTTATTATTACACTAGCCTGTTTCGTGGCTCTTTTGTTATACTCGATACGTCGCTGTTATCCGTGCCCTGGCGATAATAGTAATTCAATTTAGGATGCACGGACTGTAACTGACGTAACTACGCCATGTTGAAATAAAGAGACTGACTTTTTTTTTACTTGACTTCGACATCTCCTGCGGAACGCAACGGTGTCCCTCGGTACTGCGTAGCACACCTCGGGAAAGGATAAACCTTCCCCGATTCCCACGCCATCTTGCAGCAGCTCTAGACCACTTCGTGCTTTTTGTAATGGGAAAAGAATAAGCGAGCAGGTGGTTCACCTGATGTTAAGTGAATAGCCCATGGAGATCTGCTACACCCGAGGGTTGCAAATGCGTTGACAACCTTTTGAAAATTGGGCTCTCACTCACCAGACGAAACGCGAAAGTATTATGCGTCCACTTCACGCCGGTCTGCTGTGAGGTCGTGGTACTCTCCCGGACGAGCCTGCCCATTCGTGCAACAGCCGAGGCTGCTGCGTGGCCTTGCCACCTAAAAAACCCTGCTGCCAATCCGTTGTCGTAGTCGGCTTTTACGACAGGCAGGGGATACCTTAGCCCTATTCTATGAGACCGAGACTACAGGGCTCAAGGCAACTTACCTTAAAGTCTGACAACGCATTTGCAACCCTTATGTTGCGAATGTCCAACGATGTCGATTACCATCTTAGGCTTGGTCGATTGCGTGCAGTTCATCCAAGGTCATCCCTCTGACCTTTGGATGACCTTGTGGGATCTGCTTTTATTTTAAAATAGGAAAAAATATTGCACAAGCCTTGTATATTATTATGACGGGAAGTACTCCGTAGGTTTTCATGGATGAGTTGGTTAGTACCAGAATATGAGACATTAAACGCTTTAATCTTGGCAACTAATAAGCTTTTTTATATTTACCAAAAATTCCAAGTTATTTAAATCATTGCATTTTATATCTTAAATATGTGCCCTAAAGAAGTATAACTCCTTATGTGAGTACATAAGTACACAAATACTTTTTTCTTTTAATGTTTTAAATGTGAGTATAATATAAAAGGAAAAAAAAATAATAATATGCGAACAAACTTTCTTAATCGGTGACACACCGGGCACTTGCCGCTAAGCCATATGATCCAAGGTTCGAAGTAAATAACGAGAATGGAAACAGACTA